ACAGGAATTATATACAGAGACAAGGGGCTAGTACAGGTATTATATACAGAGACAAGGGGCTAGTACAGGAATTATACACAGAGACAAGGGGCTAGTACAGGAATTATATACAGAGACAAGGGGCTAGTACAGGAATTATATACAGAGACAAGGGGGTAGTACAGGAATTATACACAGAGATAAGGGGCTAGTACAGGAATTATACACAGAGATAAGGGGCTAGTACAGGAATTATACACAGAGACTGGACTGATATAGGTCAGGGCAAACCTAGACAACAATGTGATAGAGAAGGGACCTTACAAGAGAGGAATTTCAAGTCTTAGACAGATAGGCACAGATCTGATCACATGACCAGCAGTGATCTACCAGCAGCTTACCAATGGCGTGAACCTTACCACACAGCTGACAGATGTTAAACTGAATTTCATATTTCAAAGGAGAGAAGAAAATATAGACTGACATTTCTGACCTGCTGGCAGGAAGATCGACAAAGGTCTTTGTTATATCATTGGTACACTGACAGAGGTGAGAGGGCTGTCCTCGAAGATAATAAAAGACATGGTATAGTTTATACACCAAGACAATAATTGAAGCAGACATCGAACCATAAACACAACAATGCTGCAACACATCCCCAAATATAAATCCTCCTAATTACAAAAGCCTTCATCATTCTAACTTAACCTGAAGTGACATGGGGACACTAGTGCGCCTCCCTGTGTTAAAGGGATGTAGAGGAAAGAATACTGTCACAAAATATTTGTGATGATAACAGCTGAATTACAGGACTGGAATTGACAAAGGAAAGTGTAACTGGGACCAAGTGTCAATATTGAATCTGAGTGAAATAAATTGCAGACTTAACAAGATTACACAGAAATACAGCACCCAGCAGGGCAGACTTTATAACGTCTCTAAGTTTTTAATGTTGACAGTTACTTTCATCATCAAGATACAAATTGTCACACAGCATGGAGACTAGTCATTTTATGACCCATAGCTGCTGTGCTTCAATTTTCTCTGAAGATTTAAAACCAATACAGGTATATTGTTTCATTAATGAAATATAAATGGTCCCTACAGCGAGGGATGATTAATGGATCTGCTGGCCATTTTTTATGTGGATATTAATATTTTGTGTTCACAGTTTCAGCCCTCCACTGAAATAAAAGCTCATTTCTCTCATTTACATTGAAAACAAACTCTACAGAAATCTCCCCAGAAATCCTCTCAATTGTTTTGCTTCACATTATCTAACCATTTCTAATGTATTCTTCAAATAATCTTTAATCTGTTTTCATGTTATTTCAATTACCACTTTTTATTCAAACAAGCTCACAGACAGCAACCATGCAACTTTTTTTCAGTAATTTGTTTAAGTTATATAACAAAAAATATTGAACATGAATATTCTGTAACATAACAACAAATCAATAACATGTAATAGTAACAAACAGGAGAGCTGTAGGAGACATCACTGATAGATTCCTACACCAGACAGACAATAGATAGTCATTGTATCTATGTAGGTTTAATTAGACAGACAATAGATAGTCATTGTATCTATGTAGGTTTAATTAGACAATAGATAGTCATTGTATCTATGTAGGTTTAATTAGACAGACAATAGATAGTCATTGTATCTATGTAGGTTTAATTAGACAATAGATAGTCATTGTATCTATGTAGGTTTAATTAGACAGACAATAGATAGTCATTGTATCTATGTAGGTTTAATTAGACAATAGATAGTCATTGTATCTATGTAGGTTTAATTAGACAATAGATAGTCATTGTATCTATGTAGGTTTAATTAGACAATAGATAGTCATTGTATCTATGTAGGTTTAATTAGACAATAGATAGTCATTGTATCTATGTAGGTTTAATTAGACAATAGATAGTCATTGTATCTATGTAGGTAGGTTTAATTAGACAATAGATAGTCATTGTATCTATGTAGGTTTAATTAGACAATAGATAGTCATTGTATCTATGTAGGTTTAATTAGACAATAGATAGTCATTGTATCTATGTAGGTTTAATTAGACAATAGATAGTCATTGTATCTATGTAGGTTTAATTAGACAGATAGTCATTGTATCTATGTAGGTTTAATTAGACAGACAATAGATAGTCATTGTATCTATGTAGGTTTAATTAGACAGACAATAGATAGTCATTGTATCTATGTAGGTTTAATTAGACAGACAATAGATAGTCATTGTATCTATGTAGGTTTAATTAGACAGACAATAGATAGTCATTGTATCTATGTAGGTTTAATTAGTTTGACAGACAATAGATAGTCATTGTATCTATGTAGGTTTAATTAGACAGACAATAGATAGTCATTGTATCTATGTAGGTTTAATTAGACAGACAATAGATAGTCATTGTATCTATGTAGGTTTAATTAGACAGACAATAGATAGTCATTGTATCTATGTAGGTTTAATTAGACAATAGATAGTCATTGTATCTATGTAGGTTTAATTAGATAGTCATTGTACAATAGATAGTCATTGTATCTATGTAGGTTTAATTAGACAATAGATAGTCATTGTATCTATGTAGGTTTAATTAGATAATAGATAGTCATTGTATCTATGTAGGTTTAATTAGACAGACAATAGATAGTCATTGTATCTATGTAGGTTTAATTAGATAGTCAGACTATGTAGGTTTAATTAGATAGTCATTGTATCTATGTAGGTTTAATGTAGGTTTAATTAGACAATAGATAGTCATTGTATCTATGTAGGTTTAATTAGACAATAGATAGTCATTGTATCTATGTAGGTTTAATTAGACAGTTTAATTAGACACATAGATAGTCATTGTATCTATGTAGGTTTAATTAGACAGACAATAGATAGTCATTGTATCTATGTAGGTTTAATTAGACAGACATTAGATAGTCATTGTATGTATGTAGGTTTAATTAGACAGACAATAGATAGTCATTGTATCTATGTAGGTTTAATTCATTGTATCTATGTAGACAATAGATAGTCATTGTATCTATGTAGGTTTAATTAGACAATAGATAGTCATTGTATCTTACATTTTAATTAATAGTCATTGTATACTATGTAGGTGCAATTAACACACAGATAGTCACTTGTATCTATGTAGGTTTAACACAGCATTGTAATACTTAAGTCCTAACAGTCCATTAGGTTTAACACAATATATAGTGTTAATTGTATCCTAATACTTAGTCCTAAATGATAGCACAATAGATATCATGTCCTCAACCTCAATACAACAGTGTCCTAAACACACATAGTCATTGTATCTCCAATATTGTTCAGTCCTAACACATAGATAGTACTTGTATCTAATACTTCAGTCCTAACACAGCACCCTAATACTTCAGTCCTAACACAGCACCCTAATACTTCAGTCCTCACACAGCACCCTAATACTTCAGTCCTAACACAGCATAATTATACTTCAGTCCTAACACAGCATCTTAATACTTCAGTCCTAACACAGCATCCTTATACTTCAGTCCTAACACAGCACCCTAATACTTCAGTCCTAACACAGCATCCTAATACTTCAGTCCTAACACAGCATCCTTATACTTCAGTCCTAACACAGCACCCTTATACTTCAGTCCTCACACAGCATCTTAATACTTCAGTCCTAACACAGCATCCTAATACTTCAGTCCTCACACAGGATCCTAATACTTCAGTCCTAACCAAACATCCTAATTCTTCAGTCCTAACACAGCATCATAATACTAGTCCTAACACAGATAATTATACTTCAGTTTAACACAGCATCCTAATACTTCAGTCCTAACACAGCATCATAATACTTCAGTCCTCACACAGCATCCTAATACTTCAGTCCTAACACAGCATCCTAATACTTCAGTCCTAACACATTATCATAATACTTCAGTCCTAACACAGCATCCTAATACTTCAGTCTTAACACAGCATCCTAATACTTCAGTCCTCACACAGCATCCTAATACTTCAGTCCTAACACAGCATCCTAATACTTCAGTCCTCACACAGCATCCTAATACTTCAGTCCTAACACAGCATCCTAATACTTCAGTCCTCACACAGCACCCTAATACTTCAGTCCTAACACAGCACCCTAATACTTCAGTCCTCACACAGCATCCTAATACTTCAGTCCTCACACAGCATCCTAATACTTCAGTCCTAACACAGCATCCTAATACTTCAGTCCTCACACAGCACCCTAATACTTCAGTCCACACAGCACCCTAATACTTCAGTCCTCACACAGCATCCTAATACTTCAGTCCTCACACAGCATCCTAATACTTCAGTCCTAACACAGTATCTTAATACTTCAGTCCTAACACAGCATCCTAATACTTCAGTCCTCACACAGCATCTTAATACTTCAGTCCTAACACAGCACCCTAATACTTCAGTCCTAACACAGCACCCTAATACTTCAGTCCTCACACAGCACCCTAATACTTCAATCCTCACACAGCATCCTAATACTTCAGTCCTCACACAGCATCCTAATACTTCAGTCCTAACACAGAATCTTAATACTTCAGTCCTAACACAGCATCCTAATACTTCAGTCCTCACACAGCATCTTGATACTTCAGTCCTCACACAGCACCCTAATACTTCAGTCCTAACACAGCACCCTAATACTTCAGTCCTCACACAGCACCCTAATACTTCAGTCCTCACACAGCATCCTAATACTTCAGTCCTCACACAGCATCCTAATACTTCAGTCCTAACACAGTATCTTAATACTTCAGTCCTAACACAGCATCCTAATACTTCAGTCCTCACACAGCATCCTAATACTTCAGTCCTAACACAGCATCCTAATACTTCAGTCCTAACCAAACATCCTAATACTTCAGTCCTAACACAGCATCCTTATACTTCAGACATTATTACAGTATGATGTGACAGCTTCACATCTGATGTGTAAGTTTAAGTGATTATTTTGAAAATAAAATTCCTCACACATCACCCTAATACAGAAAACAGTACATTCATCAAATATATACTTCAGTCCTAACACAGCATCCTAATACTTCAGTCCTCACACAGGATCCTAATACTTCAGTCCTAACCAAACATCCTAATTCTTCAGTCCTAACACAGCATCATAATATTTCAGTCCTCACACAGCATCCTAATACTTCAGTCCTAACACAGCATCCTAATACTTCAGTCCTCACACAGCACCCTAATACTTCAGTCCTAACACAGCACCCTAATACTTCAGTCCTCACACAGCACCCTAATACTTCAGTCCTCACACAGCACCCTAATACTTCAGTCCTAACACAGCACCCTAATACTTCAGTCCTCACACAGCACCCTAATACTTCAGTACTCACACAGCACTTATACTTCAGTCCTAACACAGCCCTAATACTTCAGTCCTCACACAGCATCCTAATACTTCAGTCCTAACACAGCATCCTAATACTTCAGTCCTCACACAGCATCCTAATACTTCAGTCCTCACACAGCATCCTAATACTTCAGTCCTAACACAGCATCCTAATACTTCAGTCCTCACACAGCATTAATACTTCAGTCTAACACAGCATCCTAACACTTCAGTCCTAACACATCCTAATACTTCAGTCCTAACACAGCATCCTAATACTTCAGTCCTAACACAGCATAATTATACTTCAGTCCTAACACAGCATCCTAATACTTCAGTCCTAACACAGCATCCTTATACTTCAGTCCTAACACAGCACCCTAATACTTCAGTCATAAAACAGCATCCTAATACTTCAGTCCTAACACAGCTAATACCCTAATACTTCAGTCCTTACACAGCATCCTAATACTTCAATCCTAACACAGCATCCTAATATTTTAGTCCTCACACAGCATCCTAATACTTCAGTCCTAACACAGCATCCTTATACTTCAGTCCTCACACAGCATCCTAATACTTCAGTCCTAACACAGCACCCTAATACTTCAGTCCTCACACAGCATCTTAATACTTCAGTACTCACACATTATCATAATACTTCAGTCCTGACACATCACCCTAATACTTCAGTCCTCACACAGCATCCTAATACTTCAGTCCTAACACAGCATCCTTATACTTCAGTCCTAACACAGCACCCTAATACTTCAGTCCTCACACAGCATCCTAATACTTCAGTCCTTACACAGCATCCTAATATTTCAGTCCTCACACAGCATCCTAATACTTCAGTCCTAACACAGCATCCTAATACTTCAGTCCTCACACAGCACCCTAATACTTCAGTCCTAACACAGCATCCTAATACTTCAGTCCTCACACAGACATCTATAATACTTACAGTCTTAACACAAACATCCTAACACTTAATCTGACATCCTCACACAGCATCTTAATACTTCAGTCCTAAACACAGCATTCCTAATACTTCAGTCCTAACACAGCATCCTAATACTTCAGTCCTCACACAGCCATAATACATCTTCATCCTAAACACAGCATATTTAATACTTCAGTCCTGACACAGCATAGCCATATTTACATCTTACACACATAAACTATAGCCATATTTACATCTTAATACTTCAACTACAGCCATATTTACATCTTAATCTGACATAAACTATAATATTTACATCTTAATCTGACATAGACAGCCATATTTACATCTGACTTAATCTGACATAAACTATAGCCATATTTACATCTAATCTGACATAAACTATAGCCATATTTACATCTTAATCTGACATAAACATAGCCATATTTACATCTTAATCTGACAAACTATAGCCATATTTACATCTTAATCTGACATAAACTATAGCCATATTTACATCTTAATCTGACATAAACTATAGCCATATTTACATCTTAATCTGACATAAACTGCTGCCATATTTACATCTTAATCTGACATAGACTATAGCCATATCTACATCTTAATCTGACATAAACTATAGCCATATTTACATCTTAATCTGACATAACTATAGCCATTTATTTACATCTTTTATCTGACATACACTATAGCCATATTTACATCTTAATCTGACATAAACTGCTGCCATATTTACATCTTAATCTGACATAGACTATAGCCATATCTACATCTTAATCTGACATAGACTACAGCCATATTTACATCTTAATCTGACATAGACTATAGCCATATTTACATCTTAATCTGACATAAACTATAGCCATATTTACATCTTAATCTGACATAGACTATAGCCATATTTACATCTTAATCTGACATAAACTGCTGCCATATTTACATCTTAATCTGACATAGACTATAGCCATATTTACATCTTAATCTGACATAGACTATAGCCATATTTACATCTTAATCTGACATAAACTATAGCCATATTTACATCTTAATCTGACATAAACTACAGCCATATTTACATCTTAATCTGACATAAACTATAGCCATATTTACATCTTAATCTGACATAGACTATAGCCATATCTACATCTTAATCTGACATAGACTATAGCCATATTTACATCTTAATCTGACATAAACTGCTGCCATATTTACATCTTAATCTGACATAGACTATAGCCATATTTACATCTTAATCTGACATAGACTATAGCCATATTTACATCTTAATCTGACATAGACTATAGCCATATTTACATCTTAATCTGACATAGACTATAGCCATATTTACATCTTAATCTGACATAGACTATAGCCATATTTACATCTTAATCTGACATAGACTATAGCCATATTTACATCTTAATCTGACATAGACTATAGCCATATCTACATCTTAATCTGACATAGACTATAGCCATATTTACATCTTAATCTGACATAGACTATAGCCATATTTACATCTTAATCTGACATAAACTATAGCCATATTTACATCTTAATCTGACATAGACTATAGCCATATTTACATCTTAATCTGACATAAACTACAGCCATATTTACATCTTAATCTGACATAAACTACAGCCATATTTACATCTTAATCTGACATAAACTATAGCCATATTTACATCTTAATCTGACATGAACTATAGCCATATTTACATCTTAATCTGACAAACTAATGTCATATTTACATCTTAATCTGACATAAACTATAGCCGTATTTACATCTTAATCTGACATAAACTATAGCCATATTTACATCTTAATCTGACATAAATTATAGCCATATTTACATCTTAATCTGACAAACTAATGCCATATTTACATCTTAATCTGACATAAACTATAGCCATATTTAATCTTAATCTGACATAGACTATAGCCATATTTACATCTTAATCTGACATGAACTATAGCCATATTTATATCTTAATCTGACATAAACTGCTGCCATATTTACATCTTAATCTGACATGAACTATAGCCATATTTACATCTTAATCTGACAAACTAATGCCATATTTACATCTTAATCTGACATAAACTATAGCCATATTTAATCTTAATCTGACATAGACTATAGCCATATTTACATCTTAATCTGACATAGACTATAGCCATATCTACATCTTAATCTGACATAGACTATAGCCATATTTACATCTTAATCTGACATAGACTATAGCCATATTTACATCTTAATCTGACATAAACTAATGCCATATTTACATCTTAATCTGACATAGACTATAGCCATATTTACATCTTAATCTGACATAAACTACAGCCATATTTACATCTTAATCTGACATAAACTACAGCCATATTTACATCTTAATCTGACATAAACTATAGCCATATTTACATCTTAATCTGACATGAACTATAGCCATATTTACATCTTAATCTGACATGAACTATAGCCATATTTACATCTTAATCTGACATAAACTGCTGCCATATTTACATCTTAATCTGACATGAACTATAGCCATATTTACATCTTAATCTGACATAAACTGCTGCCATATTTACATCTTAATCTGACATAGACTATAGCCATATTTACATCTTAATCTGACATGAACTATAGCCATATTTACATCTTAATCTGACATAAACTATAGCCATATTTACATCTTAATCTGACATAAACTACAGCCATATTTACATCTTAATCTGACATGAACTATAGCCATATTTACATCTTAATCTGACAAACTAATGCCATATTTACATCTTAATCTGACATAGACTATAGCCATATTTACATCTTAATCTGACATAAACTATAGCCATATTTACATCTTAATCTGACATAAACTATAGCCATATTTACATCTTAATCTGACATAAACTATAGCCATATTTACATCTTAATCTGACAAACTAATGTCATATTTACATCTTAATCTGACATAGCCTATAGCCATATTTACATCTTAATCTGACATAAACTGCTGCCATATTTACATCTTAATCTGACATAGACTATAGCCATATTTACATCTTAATCTGACATAGACTATAGCCATATTTACATCTTAATCTGACATAAACTATAGCCATATTTACATCTTAATCTGACATAGACTATAGCCATATTTACATCTTAATCTGACATAGACTATAGCCATATTTACATCTTAATCTGACATAGACTATAGCCATATTTACATCTTAATCTGACATAGACTATAGCCATATTTACATCTTAATCTGACATAAACTATAGCCATATTTACATCTTAATCTGACATGAACTATAGCCATATTTACATCTTAATCTGACATAAATTATAGCCATATTTACATCTCATCTAAATCTTAATCTGACATGAACTATAGCCATATTTACATCTTAATCTGACAAACTAATGCCATATTTACATCTTAATCTGACATAAACTATAGCCATATTTAATCTTAATCTGAAGGTTATTTCTACCAGCAAATACCATTGGGCATTTTGTGATTTATTAAGAAGTGGTCGTTCAAATGGAAGAGTTGATACAAGACAGACCAGACAAGGGATGATGTAGGATAGATGATAGACTTTAGACAATATACAAAGGGTAATACTGATACTAGGATTCTAATACTGGGGAGGTAACACTGATACTAAGATTCTAATACTAGGGAAGGGAGGTAACACTGATACTAGGATTCTAATACTGGGGAGGGGAGGTAACACTGATACTTGGATACTAATACTGGGGAGGTAACACTGATACTAGGATACTAATACTGGGGAGGTAACACTGATACTAGGATACTAATACTTGGGAGGTAACAATGATACTAGGATACTAATACTGGGGAGGTAACATTGATACTAGGATACTAATACTGGGGAGGGGAGGTAACACTGATACTAGGATACTAATACTGGCGAGGTAACACTGATACTAGGATTCTAATACTAGGGAGGTAACACTGATACTAGGATTCTAAAACTGGGGAGGGGAGGTAACACTGATACTAGGATACTAATAATGGGGAGGGGAGGTAACACTGATACTAGGATTCTAATACTGGGGAGGGGAGGTAACACTGATACTAGGATACTAATACTGGGGAGGGGAGGTAACACTGATACTAGGATTCTAATACTGGGGAGGGGAGGTAACACTGATACTAGGATACTAATACTGGGGAGGGGAGGTAACACTGATACTAGGATACTAATACTGGGGAGGGGAGGTAACACTGATACTAGGATTCTAATACTGGGGAGGGGAGGTAACACTGATACTAGGATTCTACTACTGGGGAGAGGAGGTAACACTGATACTAGGATACTAATACTGGGGAGGTAACACTGATACTAGGATTCTAATACTGGGGAGGGGAGGTAACACTGATACTAGGATACTAATACTGGGGAGGGGAGGTAACACTGATACTAGGATACTAATACTGGGGAGGGGAGGTAACACTGATACTAGGATACTAATACTGGGGAGGGGAGGTAACACTGATACTAGGATACTAATACTGGGGAGGGGAGGTAACACTGATACTAGGATACTAATACTGGGGAGGGGAGGTAACACTGATACTAGGATTCTAATACTGGGGAGGGGAGGTAACACTGATACTAGGATTCTAATACTGGGGAGGGGAGGTAACTCTGATACTAGAATACTTATACTGGGGAGGGGAGTAAACTCTGATACTAGAATACTAAAACTGGGGACATTTTGCATCCCCCTGTGTTTAGAAAATAGTGTATAATTAGGTAACACAGACACATACCGTCATGAATCACCATCGACTGTAATGTTTCCAGTGTGTCTTCATTAAATCCACCGGTGGGCCTGCAGAACAAAACATTTGTGCAGTTGAAACTAACAATTGATATAAATAGACAGAAAGAGAATGGTTGCAACAAAGACAATCCCTCTCAATTATCAGAAATTGAAATAAGGGATAAAAATCTGTAAACAATATGTTGAGTAGAATAATGATATAAATTTTAGTCAATTTGACCCCTTTTTGCCCCAACCCTTAATGTGACTGATTCAGCTGTTGTTGAGTTCCTGCCATTAAGCTAAAAATTGATATGACATCATGGCAGCAATTCTGATTTCTCCATGAAGTAAGAAAGGCTACCACATGTGAAGGGCATCTGAAGGAAACAACGTAATGCAATTAAAAGGACATTCTCTTCATAGACATTGATGTGGTTTTTTTTTATCATAGTGTCGGCATTACAAAGATAAAAAAAAAAATCAAAGCCTCAAAATGGTGCATCTCTAAAATGGTCCCAGAGGAAGAGATCAGATTGTCATCCTCTATCTATTAATAAACTTTTTTCCCAAGAAACTTTAAAAATAAAAGAGTTAAAAAAAGGAATTGTGACCTTTGACCCACGGGTGAGGATTTTTATTTGATGATTTTTTTGAAATGACATATATGGAGAAAGTTCGGTTAAGGGTTTACGCCCCAAAAGTTACTACAAATAATCACAAAATCATGAAATTCTGTAACGTCTATTTTGATGACACGAAAAAGGATGAGGAACAAAAATACTAAGAAACTCAACAATAACAAATTGTCTTTTTCACCAACTGGTGGAAAGCTTAAATAATTCTCAATCCACATTTGTCATATGTTATGTTACCTATTCAATAATTCATGTTGTTTTTGGCTAACCGTGTGCCAATATTTATTTCAATACACCCTTGACAGGCCCTGGTATCTCCTACTATAGAGGATATGTAAATCAAGCTGAATGATATTTGATGCATCCTCTGCAGTGTTTCTCAGCTACATTAGATTTATCATCCACTGCAGAGTAAACGTCAGTACTTTGTGGTACTTACATTGGTCTTGCAGGCTCAGACGCCAGTAATGTACCATCTCTGTTGACAGTGATATCTTCATCTTCCTCTTCTTCATCATCCTCATCATCTAACACAATCATCTTTCGGGCATGCCTCTCCTCTGCTCCACCTAGTTCATTTAACTGGGCTGCTAAAGCATCAAGGTCCTGTGATAACACAAACATACATTTACTGATTTACTAGTTACATACAGCATTACACCTCACATCAAAGTCTACAAGAGGCCCACATGGTCTGTATCACTCACTTTTTTTATCTTCCTCTCTTTTTTTTCTATAGGCAAAAGATTTGCAAGATTTACATCTATTTCCCCATTGGGCCCCACTAGGCAAGGACCTGACTAACCATCTATACAAAAGCCATATTTCACCTATTGCTATCAACCAAAAAGGGAAAAAATCCTCTCATTTTTTAAAAAAAAAAAATTTCAAGAAATCAATATATTTCCTCTTTTGGGCCTAGTACTAGACTGGGTCTAGTTCTAGAGACTACATCTCTACTCCCACTAGTTCTAGAGACTACACCTCTAATCCCACTAGTTCTGAGACTACATCTCTACTCCCACTAGTTCTAGAGATTGTGACTCTAATCTCGCTAGTTCTATGTCACAGATTCAGGAATACCCCAATTCTGAAAGTTTCCTGCTATCCAACCATACTTACCAAACACTGTTGCCAAGTCACCTATGGCCATTGGATTAACAAATTTGTTAGCACGCAAAAAAAATAGAAAGGTATTTTAGACAGATAGTAGATATTAGTACAACAGAATAATATTTGTCTACAGACAAGACTTTGTATTGCATATGTTTTCAACAGATTTCCCCTTTATTCATTACATACTGATCACTCATGAATTTATAGCTTCGAGGTTCAACGATTCAACACAACATCATTGTTGCATAAAACGATGCCAAGTACCATTAATTATTAATGTAATTTTGGCAATAAATCTATACCAGATAAAATGTTATCTATTGTTGTTCTGAATTTTACCTAGTCACCCCTTGACTTAAAGCCAGTCATTGGCCTCTTCTGATCTCCGTATAAAGTATTACCATCATCATTTGTCTATTGTGCACCTTGTTTACAAAAGGCAGGTGTTTTTTGTGAAAATAATCTAACCAAAAAAAACATTCCTGGGGATAAATTTTCCCAGAGAATATAGACACTTGTTTCGTTGCACCCTGACTACAATCTGTCATGGCTGTTTTGACTGACTTGGTCACACCCTGACTACGATCTGTCATGACTGTTTTGACTGACTTTTGGTCACACCCTGACTACAATCTGTCATGACTGTTTTGACTGACTTTTGGTCACACCCTGACTACAATCTGTCATGGCTGTTTTGACTGACTTGGTCACACCCTGACTACAATCTGTCATGGCTGTTTTGACTGACTTGGTCACACCCTGACTACAATCTGTCATGACTGTTTTGACTGACTTGGTCACACCCTGACTACAATCTGTCATGGCTGTTTTGAGTGACTTGGTCACACCCTGACTACAATCTGTCATGGCTGTTTTGAGTGACTTGGTCACACCCTGACTACAATCTGTCATGGCTGTTTTGACTGACTTGGTCACACCCTGACTGTTTTGAGTGACTTGGTCACACCCTGACTACGATCTGTCATGACTGTTTTGACTGACTTTTGGTCACACCCTGACTACAATCTGTCATGGCTGTTTTGACTGACTTGGTCACACCCTGACTATGATCTGTCATGACTGTTTTGAGTGACTTGGTCACACCCTGACTACGATCTGTCATGACTGTTTTGACTGACTTGGTCACACCCTGACTACAATCTGTCATGGCTGTTTTGAGTGACTTGGTCACACCCTGACTACAATCTGTCATGGCTGTTTTGAGTGACTTGGTCACACCCTGACTACAATCTGTCATGGCTGTTTTGAGTGACTTGGTCACACCCTGACTACGTCACACCCTGACTACGATCTGTCATGGCTGTTTTAAGTGACTTGGTCACACCCTGACTATGATCAGTCATGACTGTTTTGAGTGACTTGGTCACACCCTGACTACGATCTGTTATGACTGTTTTGACTGACTTGGTCACACCCTGACTACGATCTGTCATGGCTGTTTTGACTGACTTGGTCACACCCTGACTACAATCTGTCATGGCTGTTTTGAGTGACTTGGTCACACCCTGACTATGATCTGTCATGGCTGTTTTGACAGACTTGGTCACACCCAAAGTTTATACAAAAGTATTTTCTCCCCTAAGGATGCTTTAGACCAACATTGGTGTAAATCCACTCAATTGTTCATGACTAGCAGCAATTTATAGAAAAAATTGACAGACACCATAAGACAGATGCTGCGGTATCCCTTTAGCTAACTCAGCCTTTAAGGCCATGTGAGCTAAAACTCAAAAGCAAAACTATTTTACCTTGACAATGGACCAGTCCTATACACAAAATTGAGGCCAATTTGACATGTTTCTGCGATAATCATGTCACTTCTATGGTTTAAATAAACCTAGCAACATTTTCCAACACCTTTGTCATCAACAACGTATAATTCTAACAACTCAATTTGCATTATTTCAACCACTATTTTCCACATATATTTCACGTTTCAAAATACAAAATGTATAATTGCAAACTGTGAGTCGTTGGCTTTGTCAGTAGATTTTGAATATTTCAAATATTATTTTTAGGACTCATTCAGAATGAATGAAAATATTGTTTTGGTTTAAATGAATATCTGCTAGGTTCGAGGTACTAGCTGTGACTATTGCATGATGTTTGAAAGTAGACTTGAAACATAAACACATTAAACATGGAAAGATGTTAATGTTATTTATTGCTCTGATGGCAAAAACTCCGAATAGGAAGCCATTGGCCTCGTGGATCATATTTATTGTACACACAAGTTTATTAAGAAACAAATCCCAAGTTAAGGACAGAAAAAAAACTCCTGTAACACTGTTGTCCTGACTACACTCTGCTGGCATGTGAAGATTATGAAATATTCATGAAATATTTGCAATTTGAAATATGATGGCTTCTTACCTCTGGCTTCTGAACAGGCCCTCTGAAACCACCTTGATTTCTGGAATCTCCGGGAATATGAGGATGTTTTGAACTTGGCGGTCTGTTATCCTGAACTACTGAAACACGGAAGAAATCCCTGAGGTAGATATCAACATCAAACACTCTCTACCATCAGCTAAACAATCCATGGAACCCAGAGTTTTATTTTGTGAATATCTCCAACACTACAATTTCATTCAAACAATGTGTTTGCACTTATTCTTTTATGTATTGGTCAAGCTGTTTCCACTCTTAAAAAAAACATGATGATTAGAAAACATATATATCACCATTATCTATAAATAGACAATGTAGTTGTAGATTTTTATCCTAAAACAGACACAGTGTAGTCATATACCAACATATTCAAAGCAACTTTGAGTTGTCATATACTGCCATTACTATCTATAAATAGAATTTATTGTTGTCATGTACTGCCATTACTATCTATAAATAGATTTATTGTTGTCATATACTGCCATTACTATCTATAAATAGATTTATTGTTGTCATATACTGCCATTACTATCTATAAATAGATTTATTGTTGTCATATACCACCATTACTATCTATAAATAGAATTAATTGTTGTCATATACCACCATTACTATCTATAAATAGATTTATTGTTGTCATATACCACCATAACTATCTATAAATAGATTTACTGTTGTCATATACCACCATAACTATCTATAAATAGATTTATTGTTGTCATATACCACCATTACTATCTATAAATAGAATTTATTGTTGTCATATACCACCATTACTATCTATAAATAGATTTATTGTTGTCATATACCACCATTACTATCTATAAATAGATTTATTGTTGTCATATACTGCCATTACTATCTATAAATAGATTTATTGTTGTCATATACCACCATTACTATCTATAAATAGATTTATTGTTGTCATATACCACCATTACTATCTATAAATAGATTTATTGTTGTCATATACTGCCATTACTATCTATAAATAGATTTATTGTTGTCATATACTGCCATTACTATCTATAAATAGATTTATTGTTGTCATATACTGCCATTACTATCTATAAATAGATTTATTGTTGTCATATACCACCATTACTAACTCTATCTAAACTTATTAGAATCTGTCTTTAAGAGTCAGTGAATAAGACCTGTTTCAGCAGCAAACTTTGGATACTGTCAGCACAAGTTCGAACATCAACAAGTCTGTTACTTCACATCAACGATTATTATACAATTAAAAACGTACATCTGAACTACTGTGTAGCCGGCCCTTATATTTTAACATTGAATGGAGAAGGACTATTACTGAGAATAATACAAGAAATTTTCTTTCAGTGTAAAATAATGAAAAGTTAAATACAGTGTATCAAATATTGTAATTTTAAAGGGACATCACGGTAAAAATGTGGTATTTTTTATTATTGTACCTGTTTTAAACACTTCCCAACAGCTGATTTCCAATGTCCACTACTCGAGAAAATACATCAGAACATTTACAGCTGATAACATTACAAGCCATTTTTGAAAACGAGCAGCTCATTTCCATACACAAACACTTTTGAAGGCAAAGAAAATTGCTTTATCACTTTGTGCCTGACATTTAAACATTTTCCAACCATTACAGATTGGTAAGTCAGTCTTGTTTACTGATATGGTGTGTTGTGCACATGCGTTATCACAGACGCAAAAAATTACATATCAGACTGTTGATCAACAGATAAGCATTTCCTTTATATAATCATCAATTAACCTTGTTATGTGTATATTTCAGTGGAAACCAACTGTCATTCTTTATACAGTAATATACTTCATATGCAATAATAATAAATTTAACAGCAAAAATTTGTTTTACCGTGATGTCTCTTTAATTACATTGAAGAAATCTATTTAGAAACCATATTTTTATCAAAAATAATTCACATTCATCATCAACATCATCAACAACTCTTCAAGTTAGATACTGAGAAGATTTCTGAACACTTTCGGCGAGACTGATTCTTATAAAATAATTAACAAAAATATTGATTTATAATGTAAATAACTAATCTATATTGATAAATGCTTTCAAATATATCCACAAATCTTAAAGTTGGTGTTGGTTTCATTTTCCATTGAAATGTGAAATTCATTGTGTTTTCCTTCCCTTAGTACACTGTTATAATCTCCTGCGTATAACATTAGCATGCAGTTGTATTAAACAAAGCAAGAGGCATTCACGGATTAGGATTAAAATTTCATAAGAATATAATGCATATATATGCTATAGGTAATATTTATAGCATGCAAAACCGTCCACCAATATGTCAGGCAGTAGTCCCATAACAACATGGTGGCAAACCGAGCACCTTTATCAAGCTAGGGAACTCTGACATAAAACTGCTTATTATAATCTACATACTACAATGCAATAAAACTAGGCATATCTTTATACTCCTAAATAAAGTCTATAAAAAATCACAACAAAACGATACACTAAACGACAAAAGGCCTTCTTGGTTCTTGTTCATAGGACTTTACCAGAACAATAGCAAAGACTAGTTATGGTGTAAAATGGTGAACCAACACAGTTTACAATAAAACACTTAACAAGATGGCCACCACTTCATCAAGACTATCTCCGAATTCCTTGAGGACATTTTTCAGTAAATTCCCACTAGTGGAAAATGTGAATATGTTGTTTAGGAAATCTATTTGCAAGGCTCGAAAAATAACAACTCTGATCCAGCATCCTTTCCTTAAAATCTGTACAAATTCTCAATATCGCTTGTGTAAACTGAGAAGTACAAACAAGTTTTTCATGATGGTGGCTGGACAGTTGATTTCAAACAGCTAGACCTCAAAAATATCAACACTGGTAGAACATGAGAAATTTAAAATGTGAAAAGTTTGTGTACAGCACATGACGACAGAGGAAACAATGACTATAGGACATTCTGACCCTGCTAAGTATACTAAAAGCTCTCAGCAGTCTATATATGTATATGATATCTATGTTTTGTCCACTACATATTCTCAGACATTCACCAGATGGAGCTACACTCCACAAATCAGAATCTACAAAAACAGCTAACACCATCCCAAACTTAACCAGTATTTATAAACACCATCCCAAACTTAACCAGTAGTTATAAACACCATCCCAAACTTAACCAGTATTTATAAACACCATCCCAAACTTAACCAGTATTTATAAACACCATCCCAAACTTAACCAGTATTTATAAGCACCATCCCAAACTTAACCAGTATTTATAAACACCATCCCAAACTTAACCAGTATTTATAAACACCATCCCAAACTTAACCAGTATTTAAAAGCACCATCCCAAACTTAACCAGTATTTATAAGCACCATCCCAAACTTAACCAGTATTTATAAACACCATCCCAAACTTAAGCAGTATTTATAAACACCATCCCAAACTTAACCAGTATTTATAAGCACCATTCCAAACTTAACCAGTATATAAAAGCACCATCCCAAACTTAACCAGTAGTTATAAACACCATCCCAAACTTAAGCAGTATTTATAAACACCATCCCAAACTTAACCAGTATTTATAAACACCATCCCAAACTTAACCAGTATTTAAAAGCACCATCCCAAACTTAACCAGTAGTTATAAACACCATCCCAAACTTAAGCAGTATTTATAAACACCATCCCAAACTTAACCAGTATTTATAAGCACCATCCCAAACTTAACCAGTATTTATAAGCACCATCCCAAACATAACCAGTATTCATAAACATCATCCCAAACTTAACCAGTATTTATAAACACCATCCCAAACTTAAGCAGTATTTATAAACACCATCCCAAACTTAACCAGTATTTATAAGCACCATTCCAAACTTAAAAACCATTATCTATAAGCACCATTGCAAACTTAAAAACCATCATCTATAAGCACCATTCCATATTTCAGCCAAAAAAAAGAAAAAAACTACAAATACAAGCATCAAATGCTTCTTTCCCCAATAATTATACCATGCATCTCAACTGAGGTAGAGTTATCTCCCTTGAAAGCTCTCATCATATTGTCTACTGCAATTAGATATATGATCTGAATGCACTCAAGTCAAGTTGTTTCTTTTAAAACCATAAAGTAAACTTCAAAACTAGTTCAGACTATCAAAGACATAATGTCAATTTTTTTTAATGATCTTGTTAACAGGTAGTTTACCATATGTTGCGATATTTTAAATGTGTTGATATTTTGGCTACCTTGGAAGTGCAAAATAAAACACTAATTTGATTACATATAAAATCCATATTCTGGTCAGACTGTTTCCAGACTCAATGACTATGTAACAGCATGTTTGTTTTATGTATGTAACAGTTTACTTTCCTTTTTTTCATATTTAACTTTCAATAACTGTAAGGTTTATTGGTTTCAATGATTCCTACCTACAGTATGAATTCTCATAAGTTGATACAAAATTAGGGTCCTTTCAAATAGGTCAGCTTCTGACCAAATCAGGACAGAATCAGCATAATCTCAAAAGAAGGATTTTAGAGAATTTCTTGCCTTTCTACTATTTGACCTTGTCCCTCCCACCCAGAGGGCCAAGACCCATTATTTAAACATAATTGATTCCATTTGACCCAATCATGCTTTAGACCAAATTGGGACAGAAACTTGATATTTCTTTAAAGAACACTTAAAGAATTTGCTCTATTTACCCTGTAGAGTCGAGACTCACATTTTACACAAAATTGATTCCTCTCCTCCTAAGGATGTATCAGTCTAGATTTGGGTACAATTAGAAGAAGTAGCTTGAAGATTAGGTTTACAAGAACATGGTAATCAGGTATAGGTAACCTTGGTTATCAAGAAGAAGTTGTGTAACAGAAAACATTTCAGCCAGACAGACAAACAAACATCATGGTATAAGCTCAGTTTGCATTGTGGGCCAGGTGAACTAAAATAAAATGTCTTTCCTATTTCAGCTTAAGTATTTTCTAAAACACAAAATATTTTTATTCTACATGTCAACCTGCAGCAAACAAAAATGATGAGAGCTGTGTTAAACTTTATTTACATGTAGAAGCTACGTCTGTGAAAGGGATAAGGGGAGTCAAACCAGGGAGGAAGTTATCATATCTATTCTGTGCAAACAATCACCTTCGTTATCATCATCATCATCATCATCATCATCCTCATCCTCCTCTTCTAGAAGAAAGTAAGGTCAAAAAAGAGCATGAGGTCAAAGGTTAATGTAGCAATGTAAAACTGGAAAGCATTTTATCAAAACAATATAGGAATAGGATTACATATTAGACATATAGTCACACAATCGGCGATTAACAAACGATGTAGCTTTGGATTATAAAGACAAGCTCACATTTCATAAGGTTTTCTCAGAATCATGCCCTCATGATATAAAACTGTTTTAATATTGTATTATGCTTGGATTAAAGTTTAAGGTGACATGCATGTGTACGTTCACAGTTATTACAATGTGTCTGATTACACTCTCATCCAAACAAGTCACTACTGACTTTGTACAATATCATTTGTACACTTTTTTGTCAAAGCTTTCATCAAAATATTAATGAAATACAAATACAGTTGAAAATATTCAACCTGAAAATTTTTCCAAAAATTTACATAAACAATATTTGTGTGAACATCCCCACAAGCCACTTTTCAAAAGCCAACCAAACTTTAATGGGTCCTTGATCCATATCAACTTACAGAAAAATAAATGAAAAGTTTATAAATTAGTATTTTCAATGTGGTATAATGCATGCTTGTACTTAAAAATATTCCACACCATGCCACAGAGCAAATATTTTCAATCAGGATCATTCAAACTCTTAATATCAATGATAATCTTTCATAAGGCAAAAAAAACCACACGTTTACAATCAATGATCAGGAACGTGTCTTAGGTATATACTGAGACTGATCAGGGACGAGCCTTACCTATATACTAAGAATGATCAGGAACGTGTCTTACCTATATACATAGACTGATCAGGGACGTGTCTTACCGATATACTAAGAATGATCAGGAACATGTCTTACCTATATACTGAGACTGATCAGGGACGTGTCTTACCTATATACATAGACTGATCAGGGATGTGTCTTACCTATATACTGAGACTGATCAGGGACGTGTTTTACCTATATACTGAGAATGATCAGGAACGTGTCTTACCTATATACATAGACTGATCAGGGACGTGTCTTACCGATATACTAAGAATGATCAGGAACATGTCTTACCTATATACTGAGACTGATCAGGGACGTGTCTTACCTATATACTAAAACTGATCAGGGACGTGTTTTAGCTATATACTGAGACTGATCAGGAACGCGTCTTACCTATATACTGAGACTGATCAGGGACGTGTTTTACCTATATACTGAGACTGATCAGTGATGTGTCTTATCTATATACTGAGACTGATCAGGGACGTGTTTTACCTATATACTAAGAATGATCAGGAACGTCTCTTACCTATATACTGAGACTGATCAGGGATGTGTCTTACCTATATACTAAGAATGATCAGGATCGTGTCTTACCTATATACTGAGACTGATCAGGGACATGTCTTACCTTTATAATGAGACTGATCAAGGACATGGCTTACCTATATACTGAGACTGATCAGGGACATGGATTACCTATATACTGAGACTGATCAGGGACGTGTCTTACCTATATACTGAGACTGATCAGGGATGTGTCTTACCTATATACTGAGACTGATCAGGGACGTGTCTTACCTATATACTGAGACTGATCAGGGACGTGTCTTACCTATATACTGAGACTGATCAGGGACGTGTCTTACCTATATACTGAGACTGATCAGGGAGGTGTCTTACCTATATACTGAGACTGATCAAGGACATGGCTTACCTATATACTGAGACTGATCCGAGACATGGCTTACCTATATACTGAGACTGATCAGGGACATGGCTTACCTATATATGGGGACTGTTTGGGGATTTGTTTAGGCTGTTGAACAGAGATTGGCTGGAAGTGACTGGATACAGGCCATGCCTGATGTGAAGACGAAGGACGATGCTGGCCCGAATGAGGGGCTCCACGATTCTGTTGCTGGGGATGACCGTGGTGATGATGACCTTGATGATGATGACCTTGACCATGGCGATGGTCCTTGTGCTGCTTTGCTTGTTGCTGAGGTGCGTGTCCTGCATTGGGCTGGCGGCCTTCTCGTTGTTGGATGAGCTGAAAGTTACGCTTTAATGTTGACTCTCCAGGTATCTGTAGTATTGAACTACAAAACAAAAAGGTACACTTATGATAACTACTTAATTCAAAACTTCTATGTCTGATACAGCTGTGATAACTAGGTTATTCAAAACTTCTATGTCTGATACAGCTGTGATAACTAGGTTATTCAAAACTTCTATGTCTGATACTGTTGTGACACTAGTTAATTCAAAACTTCTACGTCTCGTACAGTTGTGACACTAGTTAATTCAAAACTTCTACGTCTCGTACAGTTGTGACACTACTTAATTCAAAACTTCTACGTCTTATACAGTTGTGACACTAGTTAATTCAAAACTTTGAAATGTCTCATACAGTTGTGATAAGTAGGTTATTCAAAACTTCTACGTCTGATACTGTTGTGGTAATTCAAAACTTCTACGTCTGATACTGTTGTGGTAATTCAAAACTTCTACGTCTGATACTGTTGTGGTAATTCAAAACTTCAGCTGTTAAAACTAACCAATCATCAGAAGCTCACACATTCAGTACAAACCTTGGTTCACCCGGCATAGCATTTTCCTCTTCCTCCTCATTGTCACTTCCTTCATATTCATACTCTGTGTCGTGATCATCCACTACAAACATATTAAGTTTTAGAAATACAACTCTATCTAATGTAAGCAACAGTAAAGAGAAAACCTGTACACAGGGTTTAAAACATTCATTGATAAACCTTTTAATTGACATCATTCCACATACATTGTGTAGGACTGTTCTTGCGTAAGAGTATGAATTTGAATTTGGTATAATGCTTCAAGAAACATGAAATCAGGTTAACCTGTCTATTTTGTAATTATCTAGTTAAATTCATCATCTGTAGTAAAGTGGTTTATCATCACAACATAGCCATGACAAAGCAGTTCACAAGCAATTATCTATGGTTACAGCTACAAGGCCAGCTGTAATTTAAACATCTAAAACAAAATACTGAGATCTGTCATTGCTTCCTGTAACAAGTGTCATACACGTAACATAAACAAACATACTCATCACTTAGCACTAGACAACATGAGAGCTAAGTGAGAACACTCTACAACATGAGATCTAAGGGAGAGCACTCTACAACATGAGATCTAAGGGTGAGCACCCTACAACATGAGATCTAAGGGAGAACACTCTACGACATGAGATCTAAGGGAGAGCACTCTACAACATATCTAAGGGAGAGCACTCTACAACATGAGATCTAAGGGAGAGCACTCTACAACATGAGATCTAAGGGTGAGCACCCTACAACATGAGATCTAAGGGAGAGCACTCTACAACATGAGATCTAAGGGTGGGCAATCTACAACATGAGATCTAAGGGACAGCACTCTACAACATGAGATCTAAGGGAGAGCACTCTACAACATGAGATCTAAGGGAGAGCACTCTACAACATGAGATCTAAGGGAGAGCACTCTACAACATGAGATCTAAGGGACAGCACTCTACAACATGAGATCTAAGGGAGAGCACCCTACAACATGAGATCTAAGGGTGAGCACCCTACAATATGAGATCTAAGGGAGAGCACTCTACAACATGAGATCTAAGGGTGAGCACCCTACAACATGAGATCTAAGGGAGAGCACCCTACAACATGAGATCTAAGGGACAGCACTCTACAACATGAGATCTAAGGGACAGCACTCTACAACATGAGATCTAAGGGAGAGCACTCTACAACATGAGATCTAAGGGAGAGCACCCTACAACATGAGATCTAAGGGTGAGCACCCTACAATATGAGATCTAAGGGAGAGCACTCTACAACATGAGATCTAAGGGAGAGCACCCTACAACATGAGATCTAAGGGTGAGCACCCTACAACATGAGATCCCTACAAAGGGATCAGACAGCACTCTACAACATGAGATCTAAGGGACAGCACTCTACAACATGAGATCTAAGGGAGAGCACTCTACAACATGAGATCTAAGGGAGAGCACCCTACAACATGAGATCTAAGGGTGAGCACCCTACAATATGAGATCTAAGGGACAGCACTCTACAACATGAGATCTAAGGGACAGCACTCTACAACATGAGATCTAAGGGAGAACACTCTACGACATGAGATCTAAGGGTGGGCACCCTACAACATGAGATCTAAGGGAGAACACTCTACGACATGAGAACTAAGGGTGGGCAGGCTACATACATGATGTTAAGTATGGCAGTCACCAAGGGAGGAATCAATACTGATTTATCTATACTTACATCGTTTGTTCTTCTTGTGTCTGTCAATGTGGTCTTTGAGCTGTATGCGGACCTGTCGCTCTGTTGGCTGATCTTTGATAAAGGTGTGCTTCAGCAGCTGTTCTGTGTTGGGTCTTTGTGTGTAATCTTTCATTAGACAAGTCTCTACAAAGTTTGAAAATCTAGAGGACCTGTTCAAATGAGAATCATATAACAAATAAGTATACAAGGAAGCCATTCCTACAATATATCAATAATAGTAGACAATATTATTTATGTTTAAGGGCAGACTGGGTACAGATCCCCACTATTACTAAACAAAACTGCTAAAAAACTTCAGTATTATAAACCCTTAAGTATAATTACAATATTCATACACAGTATAGCAAACCCTGACCAGATCTGGATGATTGACCTTGCTACAGATCTGGATGACTGACATTGCTACAGATCTGGATGACTGACATTGCTATAGATCTGGATGACTGACATTGCTATAGATCTGGATGACTGACATTGCTACAGATCTGGATGACTGACATTGCTACAGATCTGGATGACTGACATGACTGACATTGCTACAGATCTGGATGACTGACATTGCTACAGATCTGGATGACTGACATTGCTACAGATCTGGATGACTGACATGACTGACATTACCACAGATCTGGATGACTGACATTGCTACAGATCTGGATGACTGACATGACTGACATTACCACAGATCTGGATGACTGACATTGCTACAGATCTGGATGACTGACATTGCTACAGATCTGGATGACTGACATTGCTACAGATCTGGATGACTGACATTGCTACAGATCTGGATGACTGACATGACTGACATTGCTACAGATCTGGATGACTGACATTGCTACAGATCTGGATGACTGACATGACTGACATTACCACAGATCTGGATGACTGACATTGCTACAGATCTGGATGACTGACATTGCTACAGATCTGGATGACTGACATTGCTACAGATCTGGATGACTGTGGATGATTGCCATTACCACAGATCTTGATGACTGACATTACTATAGATCTGGATGACTGTGGATGATTGCCATTACCACAGATCTGGATGACTGACATTGCTACAGATCTGGATGACTGACCTTGCTACAGATCTGGATGACTGACATGACTGACATTGCTACAGATCTGGATGACTGACATGACTGACATTGCTACAGATCTGGATGACTGACATGACTGACATTGCTACAGATCTGGATGACTGACATTGCTACAGATCTGGATGACTGACATTGCTACAGATCTGGATGACTGTGGATGATTGCCATTACCACAGATCTTGATGACTGACATTACTATAGATCTGGATGACTGACATTGCTACAGATCTGGATGACTGACATTGCTACAGATCTGGATGACTGTGGATGATTGCCATTACCACAGATCTGGATGACTGACATTGCTACAGATCTGGATGACTGACATTGCTACAGATCTGGATGACTGACATTGCTACAGATCTGGATGACTGACATTGCTACAGATCTGGATGACTGACATTGCTACAGATCTGGATGACTGTGGATGATTGCCATTACCACAGATCTGGATGACTGACATTGCTACAGATCTGGATGACTGACATTGCTACAGATCTGGATGACTGTGGATGATTGCCATTACCACAGATCTGGATGACTGACATTGCTACAGATCTGGATGACTGACATGACTGACATTGCTACAGATCTGGATGACTGACATTACCACAGATCTGGATGACTGACATTGCTACAGATCTGGATGACTGACATTGCTACAGATCTGGATGACTGACATTGCTACAGATCTGGATGACTGACATTGCTATAGATCTGGATGACTGACATTGTTCCAGATCTGGATGACTGACATGACTGACATTGCTACAGATCTGGATGACTGACATTACCACAGATCTGGATGACTGACATTGCTACAGATCTGGATGACTGACATGACTGACATTGCTACAGATCTGGATGACTGACATTACCACAGATCTGGATGACTGACATTGCTACAGATCTGGATGACTGACATTGCTACAGATCTGGATGACTGACATTGCTACAGATCTGGATGACTGACATTGCTATAGATCTGGATGACTGACATTGTTCCAGATCTGGATGACTGACATGACTGACATTGCTACAGATCTGGATGACTGACATTACCACAGATCTGGATGACTGACATTGCTACAGATCTGGATGACTGACATTGCTACAGATCTGGATGACTGACATTGCTACAGATCTGGATGACTGACATTGCTACAGATCTGGATGACTGTGGATGATTGCCATTACCACAGATCTGGATGACTGACATTGCTACAGATCTGGATGACTGACCTTGCTACAGATCTGGATGACTGACAATACCACTTGCACAGTGACTAAAATAGTTATGACTTCAGGTGTTATCTGGGAGGAAAGAGTTAACCACAACTGATGACCTCTAATCAAGAGTAAAACACATTGGTGTGGTGTAGTGGATTTTGGTGTGATATCTTTTACAAAGTCTTCACACACTGACAGACAGATGCCAGCACAGACTTGCACACGTACAGACAGATGCCAGCACAGACTTACACACGTACAGACAGATACTAGCACAGACTTACACACGTACAGACAGATGCCAGCACAGATTTACACACGTACAGACAGATACAAGCACAGACTTACACACATACAGACAGATGCCAGAACAGACTTACACACGTACAGACAGATGCCAGCACAGACTTACACACGTACAGATAGATGCCAGCACAGAGTTACACACGTACAGACAGATGCCAGCACAGACTTACACACGTACAGACAGATGCCAGCAGAGTTACACACGTACAGACAGATGCCAGCAGAGTTACACACGTACAGACAGATGCCAGCACAGACTTACACACGTACAGACAGATGCCAGCAGAGTTACACACGTACAGACAGATGCCAGCAGAGTTACACACGTACAGACAGATGCCAGCACAGACTTACACACGTACAGACAGATGCCAGCAGAGTTACACACGTACAGACAGATGCCAGAACAGACTTACACACGTACAGACAGATGCCAGCACAGACTTACACACGTACAGACAGATGCCAGAACAGACTTACACACGTACAGACAGATGCCAGCACAGACTTACACACGTACAGACAGATGCCAGCAGAGTTACACACGTACAGACAGATGCCAGCAGAGTTACACACGTACAGACAGATGCCAGCACAGACTTACACACGTACAGACAGATGCCAGCACAGACTTACACACGTACAGACAGATGCCAGCAGAGTTACACACGTACAGACAGATGCCAGCACAGAGTTACACACGTACAGATGGATGCCAGCACAGAGTTACACACGTACAGACAGATGCCAGCAGAGTTACACACGTACAGACAGATGCCAGCACAGAGTTACACACGTACAGACAGATGCCAGCACAGAGTTACACACGTACAGACAGATGCCAGCAGAGTTACACACGTACAGACAGATGCCAGCACAGAGTTACACACGTACAGACAGATGCCAGCACAGAGTTACACACGTACAGACAGATGCCAGCAGAGTTACACACGTACAGACAGATGCCAGCACAGAGTTACACACGTACAGACAGATGCCAGCACAGAGTTACACACGTACAGACAGATGCCAGCAGAGTTACACACGTACAGACAGATGCCAGCACAGACTTACACACGTACAGACAGATGCCAGCAGAGTTACACACGTACAGACAGATGCCAGCACAGACTTACACACGTACAGATAGATGCCAGCACAGAGTTACACACATACAGATAGATGCCAGCACAGAGTTACACACGTACAGACAGATGCCAGCAGAGTTACACACGTACAGACAGATGCCAGCACAGAGTTACACACGTACAGACAGATGCCAGCACAGACTTACACACGTACAGACAGATGCCAGCAGAGTTACACACGTACAGACAGATGCCAGCAGAGTTACACACGTACAGACAGATGCCAGCACAGACTTACACACGTACAGACAGATGCCAGCACAGACTTACACACGTACAGACAGATGCCAGCACAGAGTTACACACGTACAGACAGATGCCAGCACAGAGTTACACACGTACAGACAGATGCCAGCAGAGTTACACACGTACAGATAGATGCCAGCACAGAGTTACACACGTACAGACAGATGCCAGCAGAGTTACACACGTACAGACAGATGCCAGCACAGAGTTACACACGTACAGACAGATGCCAGCACAGAGTTACACACGTACAGACAGATGCCAGCAGAGTTACACACGTACAGACAGATGCCAGCACAGACTTACACACGTACAGACAGATGCCAGCACAGAGTTACACACGTACAGACAGATGCCAGCACAGATTTACACACGTACAGACAGATGCCAGCAGAGTTACACACGTACAGACAGATGCCAGCACAGAGTTACACACGTACAGACAGATGCCAGCACAGAGTTACACACGTACAGACAGATGCCAGCAGAGTTACACACGTACAGACAGATGCCAGCACAGAGTTACACACGTACAGACAGATGCCAGCACAGACTTACACACGTACAGACAGATGCCAGCAGAGTTACACACGTACAGACAGATGCCAGCACAGAGTTACACACGTACAGACAGATGCCAGCACAGAGTTACACACGTACAGACAGATGCCAGCACAGAGTTACACACGTACAGATAGATGCCAGCACAGAGTTACACACATACAGATAGATGCCAGCACAGAGTTACACACGTACAGACAGATGCCAGCAGAGTTACACACGTACAGACAGATGCCAGCACAGAGTTACACACGTACAGACAGATGCCAGCACAGACTTACACACGTACAGACAGATGCCAGCAGAGTTACACACGTACAGACAGATGCCAGCAGAGTTACACACGTACAGACAGATGCCAGCACAGACTTACACACGTACAGACAGATGCCAGCACAGACTTACACACGTACAGACAGATGCCAGCACAGAGTTACACACGTACAGACAGATGCCAGCACAGAGTTACACACGTACAGACAGATGCCAGCAGAGTTACACACGTACAGATAGATGCCAGCACAGAGTTACACACGTACAGACAGATGCCAGCAGAGTTACAACACGTACAGACAGATGCCAGCACAGAGTTACACACGTACAGACAGATGCCAGCACAGAGTTACACACGTACAGACAGATGCCAGCAGAGTTACACACGTACAGACAGATGCCAGCACAGACTTACACACGTACAGACAGATGCCAGCACAGAGTTACACACGTACAGACAGATGCCAGCACAGATTTACACACGTACAGACAGATGCCAGCAGAGTTACACACGTACAGACAGATGCCAGCACAGAGTTACACACGTACAGACAGATGCCAGCACAGAGTTACACACGTACAGACAGATGCTAGCAGAGTTACACACGTACAGACAGATGCCAGCACAGAGTTACACACGTACAGACAGATGCCAGCACAGACTTACACACGTACAGACAGATGCCAGCAGAGTTACACACGTACAGACAGATGCCAGCACAGAGTTACACACGTACAGACAGATGCCAGCACAGAGTTACACACGTACAGACAGATGCCAGCAGAGTTACACACGTACAGACAGATGCCAGCAGAGTTACACACGTACAGACAGATGCCAGCACAGAGTTACACACGTACAGACAGATGCCAGCACAGAGTTACACACGTACAGATAGATGCCAGCACAGAGTTACACACGTACAGACAGATGCCAGCACAGAGTTACACACGTACAGACAGATGCCAGCAGAGTTACACACGTACAGACAGATGCCAGCACAGAGTTACACACGTACAGACAGATGCCAGCACAGAGTTACACACGTACAGATAGATGCCAGCACAGAGTTACACACGTACAGATAGATGCCAGCACAGAGTTACACACGTACAGACAGATGCCAGCAGAGTTACACACGTACAGATAGATGCCAGCACAGAGTTACACACGTACAGACAGATGCCAGCACAGACTTACACACGTACAGACAGATGCCAGCAGAGTTACACACGTACAGACAGATGCCAGCACAGAGTTACACACGTACAGACAGATGCCAGCAGAGTTACACACGTACAGACAGATGCCAGCAGAGTTACACACGTACAGATAGATGCCAGCACAGAGTTACACACGTACAGACAGATGCCAGCACAGAGTTACACACGTACAGACAGATGCCAGCAGAGTTACACACGTACAGACAGATGCCAGCACAGAGTTACACACGTACAGACAGATGCCAGCACAGAGTTACACACGTACAGACAGATGCCAGCACAGAGTTACACACGTACAGACAGATGCCAGCAGAGTTACACACTTACAGACAGATGCCAGCACAGAGTTACACACGTACAGACAGATGCCAGCAGAGTTACACACGTACAGACAGATGCCAGCACAGAGTTACACACGTACAGACAGATGCCAGCAGAGTTACACACGTACAGACAGATGCCAGCACAGACTTACACACGTACAGACAGATGCCAGCACAGACTTACACACGTACAGACAGATGCCAGCAGAGTTACACACGTACAGATAGATGCCAGCACAGAGTTACACACGTACAGACAGATGCCAGCACAGAGTTACACACGTACAGACAGATGCCAGCACAGAGTTACACACGTACAGACAGATGCCAGCAGAGTTACACACGTACAGACAGATGCCAGCACAGAGTTACACACGTACAGACAGATGCCAGCACAGACTTACACACGTACAGACAGATGCCAGCACAGAGTTACACACGTACAGATAGATGCCAGCACAGACTTACACACGTACAGACAGATGCCAGCAGAGTTACACACGTACAGACAGATGCCAGCAGAGTTACACACGTACAGACAGATGCCAGCACAGACTTACACACGTACAGACAGATGCCAGCACAGAGTTACACACGTACAGACAGATGCCAGCAGAGTTACACACGTACAGACAGATGCCAGCACAGAGTTACACACGTACAGATAGATGCCAGCACAGAGTTACACACGTACAGACAGATGCCAGCAGAGTTACACACGTACAGACAGATGCCAGCACAGAGTTACACACGTACAGACAGATGCCAGCACAGACTTACACACGTACAGATAGATGCCAGCACAGAGTTACACACGTACAGATAGATGCCAGCACAGACTTACACACGTACAGACAGATGCCAGCACAGACTTACACACGTACAGACAGATGCCAGCACAGAGTTACACACATACAGATGCTCTGATCAAGTGGTTACTGATGTTACTCTCCCAAACTAAGTGGGATATATAACTACACGACAAAAATACCTAAATATTGTAAAGAGAAGAATGAAACAGATTTATTTTTACCATTTAGACGACTTTAATCGGGGAGGCTGGTTGCGTGGTATCAGGAACAGGGCCCTCATAGGGTGCATATCACAAAGGGCTGAAACAAAGTACAGAAAAATAGGCTTCATTTTCATTCTCCTACACAGGTTGATAGATCAACTGACATATGTTACCATGATATGCACAGAAGTGCATGGTCTTCTTCAAGTAAAGGGACATAACTCTATCAAGAGGTACCGTATACAAATTAAATAGCTAACATTTAGCTCCTAGTGGAGAACATTTCACCAGCCGACACTTACGTGGTTTTCCCTCCGCACATTCAATGGATGTGATTCCTAATGACCAAAGGTCACTCTGAAACAAAAAAACAACATCATCAACATAGAATTTCTTTATAATTAACACACAGTTTCTACTGAAACATGTAATTGTACCCAAAAATCATATTAACATTCACCACTATACAAATCCTGTAAAACTACAAAATGCAAAATATTTTCAAGCATTAATTTCATCAGGTACCGTCATTCAAAACTGATGTTTTAGTGTATAAACAGCAGATCAAGATTAATTAAAGCTAATGAAGCAAAATTTTATTCCATTACTTTATGACTCTCCAGAAAAATGATCGATAATAATCTTTAAGATAATTATTCTTTTCATTATTATTTCATTATACTAGATCACATGTCACCTTTAAAGTGTCAGTGTTTTTCATGTCAAATACAGCTAATTACCAGCCCCCAATGCCCAACTCCCCAATAAGCAGAAAGTTTCAGTGTTTTTCATATCAAATATAGTTGAATCCAGCCCAAATACCCTAATTCACTGATCAGTAAAAAATGTCAGTGTGCATCATGTCACATACAGGCCAATCCAGTCCCAAATCTCCCTACTTCACTGATCATGTCACATACAGGCCAATCCAGTCCCAAATCTCCCTAATTCACTGATCATGTCACATACAGGCCAATCCAGTCCCAAATCTCCCTACTTCACTGATCATGTCACATACAGGCCAATGCAGTCCCAAATCTCCCTAATTCACTGATCATGTCACATACAGGCCAAACCAGTCCCAAATCTCCCTACTTCACTGATCATGTCACATACAGGCCAATCCAGTCCTAAATCTCCCTACTTCACTGATCACGTCACATACAGGCCAATCCAGTCCCAAATCCCTGACTAACCAATCAACAGAAAAAGGCAGTGCTTATTGTGTCAAATACAGCCCAATATTTCCTCTTACTCCCAACTCCCTTTCCTGGACTGAAGCCTCTCAGAATCATATACAAACCCTGTTGTCATATGTTGCATCAGGATTTTCATCACAGGCAATAACTTCGGGCGCCATCCTGTTGATAAAGTAAACAAATACTAAGTACACTTAACATCCTTACCTATTACCTGGAAAATATGTACATGATTACCAAGTCTGTAAGAATACTGCTTACTGCTTAGATAAATAACTATTTTGACTTTTAATAGTTAATTGATGACATCACAGCAGTGTAACTACATCATTAATTGATGACATCACAGCAGTGTAACTACATCATTAATTGATGACATCACAGTAGTGTAACTACATCATTAATTGATGACATCACAGCAGTGTAACTACATCATTAATTGATGACATCACAGCAGTGTAACTACATCATTAATTGAAGACATCACAGTAGTGTAAGTACAATGCTTTACTCCCCCCTCCCTCTCCCCACTACTCACCCCTATACAAAATCAAATGCTTTACTCCCCCCTCTCCCCACTACTCACCCTTATACACAATCCATGTTGTACCCCCTGCTACCTTTAGCCCCTATATACAAACAATGCTATCACACACACAAAAAATAAATTCTCATATCAAATCTTACCAATACGGTGTCCCAATAAATGTGTTTCTTCTACCGATTGTCTTATCAAGCTGAGCACTGACACCAAAGTCCACTGTAACAGAACAAGACATATTCATCATGTGTATGTGTATACTGTATACAGTATGTGAAATTTGAGACTGATCCATTCAAAATTTTCCCATTATTAGCGATAACAAATTATAACTGCCATCATGGATTTGAAGTTTTTCCTATCAGACCAAAAATGGACTATGCATAACTAGAGATCATAGGAAACCTACAGAGGAAATTTGTGACTGATCCATCCAGTACTTCTCTAGAACTATTGATTTAAACTTATTACTGAGTAATGGATGGTGGCATCCACCATTGTATGTTCTTTGATGATTCTTAATATGTTGAACTTTTCCCTTCTTTTGTCTTCTTTCCTCTTACTTGCTCTTAATAACATCTTGTATTTAGACATGAGAGGTAACATCATTACACAAGGAAAACCTTCAACTTTTGAAATTCCTATCTAGAGCACAACCAAAGACCAAGGAGATTTAAATTCAAACCAAATTTGTGGACAAATTCTAATTTTTTCTTAAAGGTAAGTAGGATTTTAAAGAATTTGCTCTATCATCCAACCTAGCCCATATTGCCCCACAAGGCCTTGACCCACAATTTATACAAGTTGAGTCCTCTTTACACAAAGATGCATCTGACCAAAATCTGAGTAGGCATTTATGACCAGTTGTGACTTTAAGTTGACAATGTATGCTTATGGTATAAGCTCAACATTTCTTCAGACCAGTCAAGTTATAAACCTTGATATGAAATTTGAGAAAATTCCATCCAGTGCTTTTCAAGAAATAGCAAATTCAAGAATTTTCAAAGGACTGATGACAGACAGAAGCCACACCACAGATGTGTGGTGAATTCACAAGAGATCAAACGGTACCCAAATATGAAATGTGGGAAACATCCATTTAGTAGTTTTCCAGAAATAACAATAACAATGCAGTCAGTTGGCCACCTCGTTTTTGGATCAGTCTCAAAATGGACAATGCACAATAGGGACCAAGATAAACCAACATATAAAGTTCTACAGAAATACACCTCTACAAAAAAAGTGAAAACAGACAATGAACTGTTAACATCTAAGATGACCACTTGTCATTAATGTTGTTTTTGGATCAGTCCAAAAATTGGACAATGCACAATTAGGGTCCAAGGGGAACCTACATATGAAATTTGAAAAAGATCCAAATGGCCCAAGAGACAAGGAATTAATTTTTTATGGCATTGCCCAACTCAAGAACGATTTGAAAGATTAAAGTTCGAAACATCGTCAAAATCATCCACATAAGCTAATTGAAGATAGCAGCCAGGATATACCTGGAGGATATTTTCCTGTTGTTGCTGTGCTAATTTTCATTGTGAGAAATGTATCAAGTGTCATGTTGTATACTTACCAAGCTTAACTTCGGCATTGTCTGTCAGAAGAACATTCTGGCCCTTTATGTCTCTGTGTATGACTTTATTTCCATGTAAATGAGCGAGGCCCTGTAATCAGCATCATTAAACACGATCATAATATAAAATATAACACACTACACACTGTATATACTGTAGGATTTCTCTATAACACCCTACACACTGTATATACTGTAGGATTTCTCTATAACACCCTACACACTGTATATACTGTAGGATTTCTCTATAACACCCTACACACTGTATATACTGTAGGATTTCTCTACACTCTGTATATACTGTAGGATTTCTCTACACACTGTATATACTGTAGGATTTCTCTATAACACCATACACACTGTATATACTGTAGGATTTCTCTACACACTGTATATACTGTAGGATTTCTCTACACACTGTATATACTGTAGGATTTCTCTATAACACCCTACACACTGTATATACTGTAGGATTTCTCTATAACACCCTACACACTGTATATACTGTAGGATTTCTCTATAACACCCTACACACTGTATATACTGTAGGATTTCTCTATAACACCCTACACACTGTATATACTGTAGGATTTCTCTATAACACCCTACACACTGTATATACTGTAGGATTTCTCTATAACACCCTACACACTGTATATACTGTAGGATTTCTCTATAACACCCTACACACTGTATATACTGTAGGATTTCTCTATAACACCCTACACACTGTATATACTGTAGGATTTCTCTATAACACCCTACACACTGTATATACTGTAGGATTTCTCTATAACACCCTACACACTGTATATACTGTAGGATTTCTCTACCAATATAACACCCTACACACTGTATATACTGTAGGATTTCTCTATAACACCCTACACACTGTATATACTGTAGGATTTCTCTATAACACCCTACACACTGTATATACTGTAGGAATCTCTATAACACTCTACACACTGTATATACTGTAGGATTTCTCTATAACACCCTACACACTGTATATACTGTAGGATTTCTCTATAACACCCTACACACTGTATATACTGTAGGATTTCTCTATAACACCCTACACACTGTATATACTGTAGGATTTCTCTATAACACCCTACACACTGTATATACTGTAGGATTTCTCTATAACACCCTACACACTGTATATACTGTAGGATTTCTAACACCCTACACACTGTATATACTGTAGGATTTCTCTATAACACCCTACACACTGTATATACTGTAGGATTTCTCTATAACACCCTACACACTGTATATACTGTAGGATTTCTCTATAACACCCTACACACTGTATATACTGTAGGATTTCTCTATAACACCCTACACACTGTATATACTGTAGGATTTCTCTATAACACCCTACACACTGTATATACTGTAGGATTTCTCTACACACTGTATATACTGTAGGATTTCTCTACACACTGTATATACTGTAGGATTTCTCTATAACACCATACACACTGTATATACTGTAGGATTTTTACACACTGTATATACACCCTACACACTGTATATACTGTAGGATTTCTCTATAACACCCTACACACTGTATATACTGTAGGATTTCTCTATAACACCCTACACACTGTATATACTGTAGGATTTCTCTATAACACCCTACACACTGTATATACTGTAGGATTTCTCTATAACACCCTACATGCTGTATATACTGTAGGATTTCTCTATAACACCCTACACGCTGTATATACTGTAGGATTTCTCTATAACACCCTACACACTGTATATACTGTAGAATTTCTCTACCAATATAACACCCTACACACTACCTACCCGAAGGATTTCTCTTGCTATGTATGCTATCCATTCCTCCTTTAGTGAGTTTCCCTTCGTGGCTGTAAAATATAAAATTCATCAAAATCAGAGACAACTTTGTGTTAATATTTCTGAACAAACAAGATGCCCAATGGGCCTGTTTTGCTCACCTGTCTGCATCTTATATAGAAAAACCACCATTGAAAGAGTTGATTTTGGTAACAATACTGTTCATATCAAACATTCTACTTCTTAACACTGCACACGTTGTAGGCACAAAAAAAAAACTCCGGGGCAAATCAATTTGTTGCTGAAAACGGTTTGTTAAATTTTGAAATATTTCACTCAACTGACCTTAAAAATTATGTTCATGGTTATTCAACTGAGTAAATTTGGTAGCTCTTCATCAGTGTTCTTCTGGCCAAATATTAGACCTTGGACTTTTGGGTCATTGAGAAGAAGTTGTTTAAAGGGAAAAGTTGATGACAGACAGATCAAATGATAACACACAGAAAGATGACAGAGTTGTCTGCCCTTGTGAGCAGGTATTGATCATTACAGCCTTTGTTTGTGATAGTAAATGCATGTGAAAACGACGTAATTTTTAATATAAACTTATGATGTAACAATCTATACCTCCTCACAAGAGCAGATAACTCTGAATTACAAAAATATGGATTAAGTCCCTGTCTGGTTAGAAGTGTATCAATATTTAATCGCATTCTAAATAAGTTCAATAAACTTTTTACCAAAGCCCCACTACCCATAAACATTCTATTGTAGTTGACCCTATCATCCAGCTAATGTTTGTGTGTACCAAGGTAACATTATATTTGTTAATACCTTCAATACTAAATTACTTATTTACCAATAATATTTCAATCAGTGATTTGTCAATTTCAGTTGTCTTGTTCTTAAATTTTTCCTGTGTTGCTGATCATTTTTAGTGGATGTCTTGGTGAAATGTTAATTTACATTAAATGCATCATTTTCTTCAAATAGCATATACAAATATATATAGCATTATAATTACATATTTACATTATAATTACATATTTACATTATAATTACATATTTACATTATAATTACATATTTACATTGATTACATATTTACATTATAATTACATATTTACATTATCACCCATTTTATGAACACTATAAATAGTTTCCAAATAGCAGAGTATGGTAATGCTTTTTGATTGTCCTCAGTTAATCACCCAGCCACAACTTGCAGTGTGATGTATGTCCAACATTATAGTGTTATGACTATGCACAAACCTTTGACTAGATCAGTGACTGAGCCTGCTCCACAGAACTCCATGACCAGCTGAAATTACAAAGTATTAACTGTAGTGCCTACTGATTCTTACCACAACAAACAGAAATAATGATGTATTAACTAGGAAATAACAGCTAAAAGAAAATCTCATAGATAAATTACCAAATATTATACATCATTATCTCAAACAAGTATTTTGACGTCTCTGACATACTATAACCATATCTAGTGTTATACACAGGCAATATGTCATACAGCACGGTAAGTGATTGACAATAAATTTACCCAAAGTTGGTCATCTTTCCCAGGAGGACTCTTCTTAATGAAAGCACCATAGTAAGTTGCAATATTCCTGTGATTTGAGAACTGAAAACAGAAAGCATAATTACTACTCTATGAGGTCAAAGTTCAAACATGCCATACATCATCATGTCTGTACAAGCTAATGAAGTGCTTTTCTGTAATCCAATTGTACTCTCAAGTCAAAAGCACATTTGTCAAAGTGTTGAGCATTACAAGGCACAGTTAGTTGACAGGTCACAAACAAATATGGACGGCTATCGATGCCAAAAAAGCTATTATGATAGTATTGTGATAGTAAAATCACTATTGTGATATTATTGCGATAGTCAAGGGACTATTGCAATACTTTCACAATATTTTTTCTCACCTCAAAATTAAGCATCAAAAACTATTTAAATGTATAAGGATGCTCAATTTAGCAAATGCTCAAACTGAAAAAATTATTTACAATTTTCATAGAATCAAGTATGTAACACCTTGATATTTTATACAAAAATATGCTAATCTGTGATATTTGATGTGAAATTCATACACAGATGACTATTATTTTCATATAAGTCTTAGTTTTACAACAAATTTAGTATAATTCTCCTAAATTATCACAGTTACTACACCACAGTTAATATACTACTGGAGTACAGACCCCTAAATCATCACAGTTACTACACCACAGTTAATATACTACTGGAGTACAGACCCCTAAATCATCACAGTTACCACACCACAGTTAATATACTACTGGAGTACAGACCCCTAAATCATCACAGTTACTACACCACAGTTAATATACTACTGGAGTACCAACCCCTAAATCATCACAGTTACTACACCACAGTTAATATACTACTGGAGTACCAACCCCTAAATCATCACAGTTACTACACCACAGTTAATATATACCCCTAAATCATCACAGTTACTACACCACAGTTAATATACTACTGGAGTACAGACCCCTAAATCATCACAGTTACTACACCACAGTTAATATACTACTGGAGTACCAACCCCTAAATCATCACAGTTACTACACCACAGTTAATATACTACTGGAGTACCAACCCCTAAATCATCACAGTTACTACACCACAGTTAATATACTACTGGAGTACAAACCCCTAAATCATCACAGTTACTACACCACAGTTAATATACTACTGGAGTACACACCCCTAAATCATCACAGTTACTACACCACAGTTAATATACTACTGGAGTACAGACCCCTAAATCATCACAGTTACTACACCACAGTTAATATACTACTGGAGTACACACCCCTAAATCATCACAGTTACTACACCACAGTTAATATACTACTGGAGTACAGACCCCTAAATCATCACAGTTACTACACCACAGTTAATATACTACTGGAGTACCAACCCCTAAATCATCACAGTTACTACACCACAGTTAATATACTACTGGAGTACAGACCCCTAAATCATCACAGTTACTACACCACAGTTAATATACTACTGGAGTACAGACCCCTAAATCATCACAGTTACTACACCACAGTTAATATACTACTGGAGTACAGACCCCTAAATCATCACAGTTACTACACCACAGTTAATATACTACTGGAGTACAGACCCCTAAATCATCACAGTTACTACACCACAGTTAATATACTACTGGAGTAAAAACCACCCCTAAATCATCACAGTTACTACACCACAGTTAATATACTACTGGAGTACAGACCCCTAAATCATCACAGTTACCACACCACAGTTAATATACTACTGGAGTAAAGACCCCTAAATCATCACAGTTACTACACCACAGTTAATATACTACTGGAGTACCAACCCCTAAATCATCACAGTTACTACACCACAGTTAATATACTACTGGAGTACAAACCCCTAAATCACCACAGTAATTATATAGTCCACATTTATTACCTGTAGTGACATTAACAAACAGGAAATCTACAACTTTAAAAGATCTCCATCTAGAGTATAGCGAACCTAAAAATGAATTTTCCAAACAGTCTACCAAGTTCTCTGAGTAATAGTAATAACAAACTTTAAGGGGTCACTTGTCAGCCATGTAGTCTTCTTATTCTCACACTGAAGTGAATGGACACTAGGGATCGAGGGGAACTTCCTTAGGAAGTTTTAGAAATATAACCAAATGTGGCCATCTGTCAGCGATATTATTCTGATCAGTCTTGGAACTAAAAGGACAAAACTAGGGATCAAGGCAAACTTTCATCAGAAATTTGAAAATGATTCGTCCTGGCCTTCCTAAGGGAAAGCATTAACAGTAATTATCTAAGAATAGGTGACAGAATGATGATTGCATACGTCACCGAGCGAATCTGCCACAGTCTAATAATCGTGAACTCTAAACGTATAGCACGAAACACGATTATCTGCTTCCTAATTCTGGCAGGAGAACCAATGGTATTCTTCTTTTTAAAGTTCAAAGTGTTTGCTTAGACTCGGGGAGGGTTAATTGCGAACAACTCCCTTATTCCTGAAAGACACAGAAGTAGAGAGGGGCTCAGCTTATTTGCAAGGGGGGCTAACTTGCAGCAAAATATCATACTTATGAAAATTAGAATAGTTTTATATTCTAAATAGATGTATATGAATAGAAACTACTAGTTAAAACTCACCTTTTTCAAAACATTGATTTCCAACTTGATTTCCTCTTCTTCATCCTGCAAAAGAAAAGTCAGTACAGACAACAAACACAAACTTCTGAATAAGAAAAGTCAGTACAGACAACAAACACAAACATCTGAATAAGAAAAATCAGTACAGACAACAAACACAAACATCTGAATAAGAAAAGTCAGTACAGACAACAAACACAAACTTCTGAATAAGAAAAGTCAGTACAGACAACAAACACAAACATCTGAATAAGAAAAGTCAGTACAGACAACAAACACAAACATCTGAATAAGAAAAGTCAGTACAGACAACAAACACAAACATCTGAATAACAAAGATCAGTACAGACAACAAACAGAACATCTGAATAAGAAAAGTCAGTACAGACAACAAACACAAACATCTGAATAAGAAAAGATCAGTACAGACAAAAAACAGGAACATCTGAATAAGAAAAATCAGTACAGACAACAAACACAAACATCTGAATAAGAAAAGTCAGTACAGACAACAAACACAAACATCTGAATAACAAAGATCAGTACAGACAACAAACACAAACATCTGAATAAGAAATGTCAGTACAGACAACAAACACAAACATCTGAATAACAAAGATCAGTACAGACAACAAACACAAACATCTGAATAAGAAAAATCAGTACAGACAACAAACACAAACATCTGAATAAGAAAAGTCAGTACAGACAACAAACACAAACATCTGAATAAGAAAAATCAGTACAGACAACAAACACAAACATCTGAATAAGAAAAATCAGTACAGACAACAAACAGAACATCTGAATAAGAAAAATCAGTACAGACAACAAACACAAACATCTGAATAAGAAAAATCAGTACAGACAACAAACACAAACATCTGAATAAGAAAAATCAGTACAGACAACAAACACAAACATCTGAATAAGAAAAGTCAGTACAGACAACAAACACAAACATCTGAATAAGAAAAGTCAGTACAGACAAAAAACAGAACATCTGAATAAGAAATGTCAGTACAGACAACAAACACAAACATCTGAATAAGAAAAATCAGTACAGACAACAAACAGAACTTCTGAATAAGAAAAGTCAGTACAGACAACAAACACAAACATCTGAATAAGAAATGTCAGTACAGACAACAAACAGAACATCTGAATAAGAAATGTCAGTACAGACAACAAACACAAACATCTGAATAAGAAAAGTCAGTACAGACAACAAACACAAACATCTGAATAAGAAAAATCAGTACAGACAAAAAACACAAACATCTGAATAAGAAAAGTCAGTACAGACAACAAACACAAACATCTGAATAAGAAATGTCAGTACAGACAACAAACACAAACATCTGAATAAGAAAAATCAGTACAGACAACAAACAGAACATCTGAATAAGAAAAGTCAGTACAGACAACAAACACAAACATCTGAATAAGAAAAATCAGTACAGACAACAAACACAAACATCTGAATAAGAAAAGTCAGTACAGACAACAAACAGAACATCTGAATAAGAAAAGTCAGTACAGACAACAAACACAAACATCTGAATAAGAAAAATCAGTACAGACAACAAACACAAACATCTGAATAAGAAAAATCAGTACAGACAACAAACAGAACATCTGAATAAGAAAAGTCAGTACAGACAACAAACACAAACATCTGAATAAGAAAAATCAGTGCAGACAACAAATAGAAACATCTGATTAAGAAAAATCAGTACAGACAACTAACACAAACATCTGAATAAGAAAAATCAGTACCTCTGTAACGTTCATCACTTTGATGGCAGCCAATTGTCCAGTCTTGGTATGTCGACCCTGAAATTACACACAATAATATAATATAAAGAAGAGTAAGAGTATAGCTTACTTGTTCTGCATCTTACACAGAGACCTCTGAATTGGAAGTGTTTACTGCAGTAATACTTGGACAGAGTAAGTATACAAAGACACCCGTGTCACATGTGACCTTGAGTGGATGATGATGATGATGATGATGATGATGATGATGATGATGATGATGATGATGATGATGATGATGATGATGTAAAATTACTGGAGATATACTGATAACAGTTTACTGTAGGCCTATAGACACTGCATAGGAAATGGGATCAACTTAGAATTTCTTATTTATTTATGCTATAATTATGAAGAATCTTAAATCAAAATGAAGCTCTTGCAATTCTCTTTCTGATCATGTTTTCTGTATTTTAATGCTGTGAATAGAACATAAGTAATTGCCTAACATGTAGTTTTTCACATTACTTAGTTCAACCCTCTCAGACCTCCAGGGGGCTTGGCCTAATCTATTGGAACATTGTGACATCACTGTGAAAGGTCTTTATAATTTATTCCAAATTATGCCAAGAAAATTCCCAGCCAAATATATTCCTTTAATAAGTCATTGGAAGGTTCTACATATTTGTATATAAGCCTTTGTGAAACTTTTACTGGCCAAATATGATAGCCTTTGATCAATCAGAAGTTGTTAATGATTTTACCAAATTTAACACCAGTGACCTTAAATATTTTTATGGGTCAAGCTATTTTTTCACACACTATGTAGGCATCATAAAGGGAACCTTTTGGCCAAATATTATGATTTTAGGCCTTTTGGTTAAGCAGAAGTTGTTCAAAGGTTTAACGCATTTGACCATTGTGACCTTGAATATGGGTCAAGGCATCATTGAGAACCTATTTTAGAACAATATCACTATCCCAGATGTTTTGGATAATCAGAAAATGTCATTTAAAGGTTTAACGCATTTGACCCCTGTGACCTTGACTATGGGTCAAAGTCATTTCTTTTTGCAAACTTTCTTGGACTTCATAAAAGGAACATACTGGCCAAATATACTGATTCTAGGCTTTTCGATATTTCAGAAGAAATTGTTTAAACGTTTAAACACATTTGACCCCTGTGACCTTGAAGGTTGGTCAAAGTCATTTCTTTTAACAAACTTTGTAGGACACCATAAAAAGAACATAGTAGCCTAATATAATGATTCTAGGCCTTCCGGTATTTGGGGAGAGGTCGTTAAAAGGTTTTAACACATTTGACCTCTGTGACCTTGAATATGGGACAAGGTCATTTCTTTTCACAAACTTTGTTAGGCTTCATCAAAGAAACATTCCAGCCATACATAATGATTCTAGGCCTTCTGGTATTTTGAAAGAAGTCGTTTAAAGGTTTTAACAAATTTGACCTCTGTGACCTTGAATATGGGTCAAGGTCATTTCTTTTTGCAAACTTTGTTGGGCTTCATCAAAGGAACCTTCCAGCCAAATATGATAACTCTGCGCCTTTCAGGATTTCAGACTGATCATTATTAGAGTAATTAGGACCAGGGTTACAACCTCCCTGAGGTGACTAATTAGGACCAGGGTTACAACCTCCCTGAGGTGACTAATTAGGACCAGGGTTACAACCTCACTGAGGTGACTAATTAGGACCAGGGTTACAACCTCCCTGAGGTGGCTAATTAGGACCAGGGTTACAACCTCACTGAGGTGACTAATTAGGACCAGGGTTACAACCTCACTGAGGTGACTAATTAGGACCAGGGTTACAACCTCCCTGAGGTCACTGATCATTATTAGAGTAATTAGGGGTTGCTTTAGCCTGTTTTGTCAATCAGAAAACAGTTGTCATATATCATGACCAAAATGGAATTGTCAGTGGTCCCATTGCACAGGTTGTTAATATACACAAGGTGAGTTCAGCTGAAACATTGGAATTCTTTATATGAATTTGCTCTTGTTTTAAAAAAAACATTGAATATTTATGTGTTAAATCTAAATAGAGTCATTTGACCTCTGACCTCTGACCTCTACCTGATACAAGTCCTGCCTCCAGTCGGGGTTAGTGGAGTTCCTAGATGGTGACAGAAGGTTGAAGACGTAAGAGTAAGGAAGTGGACCTATGTACAGATATGGTTTATTTCATCCCAAACAAACATCAGCACCAATGCTCAAAATTAGCTGACAAAAGGCCAGGAAATTGCTTTGCCATACAGCCTGAGCATCTTATTTTTTGTATGTCCAATTATATACTTGGCTCTAATTGTTAAGTTCACAGAAAATTTTTAATTTGTAAAATCGGCCAATCTTAATTCTATAGTCCTTTGTTATGATTTGTCATTATTGTAACAGGAAAATAGCGCTGGTATCTAACCCACTGACTGGTTTAATACTCTATCCCTCGAGGGAAATTCCCTCCAGCATGTATCTATGCAAAATTAAAACCTGCCTCAACACTCCCCACTTCTAATGTGTTCTCCCCAAAACACCATATCAACCCAGATTCTCCTACAAAGCCTCTTTGTGGCTTCTTTAACTTGGAGCAGTCTACAACACCAAATATAACAAGAAAGGAACAGTGTACAATGAATCCAACCCACAACCCCTGGTTTACTAGTCTGTTGCTCTACCATCAAGTTGGTGGGAAATTCCCTCTAGTGCAAATGTACACTAAAACCTGCTACACTAATATAATGTAACCTTAAGCCTGACATAAACAGAACAAGTTAGTGGGCTGTCATCTTTCTTTACTCTAACACTCTAGGCTTCTCCGTTTTGTTGAATCATATCAACTCTGTGTAGGTAAACAAAGTATGACATCACCAAGGTAAACTAGATAATCAACTCATAGTGTCACTATGTTGAAATGGTTGGGAATGTTAGGATATTGTTGCTATGGACATAGACATGGACATGGATATAGACATGAGGTCACTGTACCTAATTGTTGATATAGACATAAGGTCACTGTACCCAAATGTTGTTATAGACATGAGGTCACTGTACCTAATTGTTGATATAGACATGAGGTCACTGTACCCAAATGTTGTTATAGACATGAGTTCACTGTACCTAATTGTTGTTATAGACATGAGGTCACTGTACCCAAATGTTGTTATAGACATGAGTTCACTGTACCTAATTGTTGTTATAGACATGAGGTCACTGTACCTAATTGTTGTTATAGACATGAGGTCACTGTACCTAATTGTTGTTATAGACGTGAGGTCACTGTACCTAATTGTTGACATAGACATGAGGTCACTGTACTTAACTGTTGTTATAGACATAAGGTCACTGTACCCAAATGTTGTTATAGACATGAGGTCACTGTACCTAATTGATGTTATAGACATGAGGTCACTGTACCCAAATGTTGTTATAGACATGAGTTCACTGTACCTAATTGTTGTTATAGACATGAGGTCATTGTACCTAATTGTTGTTATAGACATGAGGTCACTGTACCTAATTGTTGTTATAGACGTGAGGTCACTGTACCTAATTGTTGACATAGACATGAGGTCACTGTACTTAAGTGTTGTTATAGACATAAGGTCACTGTACCTAATTGTTGTTATAGACATGAGGTCACTGTACCTAATTGTTGCTATAGACATGATGTCACTGTAAATAATTGTTGTTATAGACATGAGGTCACTGTACCCAATTGTTGATATAGACATAAGGTCACTGTACCTAATTGTTGTTATAGACATGAGGTCACTGTACCTAATTGTTGCTATAGACATGATGTTGCTGTTTCTATGTGGTGACAGGTGTGTCTGTATCCATGTGGTGACATGTGTCTCTGTATCTATGTGGTGACAGATGTCTCTGTATCCATGTGGTGACAGGTGTCTGTGTGTTTATGTGGTGACAGGTGTCTCTGTATCCATGTGGTGACAGGTGTGTCTGTTTCTATGTGGTGACAGGTGTGCTTGTATCCATGTGGTGACAGGTGTGTCTGTTTCTATGTGGTGACAGGTGTCTGTATCCATGTGGTGACAGGTGTCTCTGTATAAATGTGGTGACAGGTGTCTCTGTATCCATGTGGTGACAGGTATGTCTGTTTCTATGTGGTGTCAGGTGTGCTTGTAACCATGTGGTGACAGGTGTGTCTGTTTCTATGTGGTGACAGGTGTGCTTGTATCCATGTGGTGACAGGTGTATCTGTTTCTATGTGGTGACAGGTGTCTGTATCCATGTGGTGACAGGTGTGTCTGTTTCTATGTGGTGACAGGTGTGCTTGTATCCATGTGGTGACAGGTGTATCTGTTTCTATGTGGTGACAGGTGTCTGTATCCATGTGGTGACAGGTGTGTCTGTTTCTATGTGGTGACATTTGTGCCTGTATCCATGTGGTGACAGGTGTGTCTGTTTCTATGTGGTGACAGGTGTCTCTGTATCCATGTGGTGACAGGTGTCTCTGTATCCATGTGGTGACAGGTGTCTCTGTATCCATTTGGTGACAGGTGTGTCTGTTTCTATGTGGTGACAGGTGTCTCTGTATCCATGTGGTGACAGGTGTATCTGTTTCTATGTGGTGACATGTGTGCTTGTATCCATGTGGTGACAGGTGTATCTGTTTCTATGTGGTGACAGGTGTCTGTATCCATGTGGTGACAGGTGTGTCTGTTTCTATGTGGTGACATTTGTGCCTGTATCCATGTGGTGACAGGTGTGTCTGTTTCTATGTGGTGACAGGTGTCTGTATCCATGTAGTGACAGGTGTGTCTGTTTCTATGTGGTGACAGGTGCCTGTATCCATGTGGTGACAGGTGTGTCTGTTTCTATGTGGTGACAGGTGTCTCTGTATCCATGTGGTGACAGGTGTCTCTGTATCCATGTGGTGACAGGTGTCTCTGTATCCATTTGGTGACAGGTGTGTCTGTTTCTATGTGGTGACAGGTGTCTCTGTATCCATGTGGTGACAGGTGTGTCTGTTTCTATGTGGTGACAGGTGTCTCATGTGTGACAGGTGTGTCCATGTGGTGACATTTGTGTGTATCTATGTGGTGTTTCTCCATGTGGTGACAGGTGTCTCTGTATCCGTGTGGTGACAGGTGTCTCTGTATCCATGTGGTGACAGGTGTGTCTGTTTCTATGTGGTGACAGGTGTATCTGTTTCTATGTGGTGACAGGTGTGCTTGTATCCATGTGGTGACAGGTGTGTCTGTTTCTATGTGGTGATATTTGTGCCTGTATCCATGTGGTGACAGATGTCTCTGTATCTATGTGGTGACAGGTGTGCCTGTATCCATGTGGTGACAGGTGTCTCTGTATCTATGTGGTGACAGGTGTGCCTGTATAGTATTCTAAACTTACCTTGTACACCTGTCCATAGGTGCCATTTCCAACCACTTCAATGAGGTCAAAAATTCCAGCTGGATCCTGAAATACATAAAACAATTATTCTTCCAGTGTCAAGATACTTCTTCTGTAAAAAAACAGAAATAAATAGATTATAGATAAAATAATTGATTAATGCGCGTGAAATCAACTAAAAGCTACTGTCATATCTTAGCGAATCAGTGTTGGTAATTAAGGATGAGCATTGAATACCTAGATAACAACAAGTTATAACATCCATGTGTCGAGTTCTCACTTTACAGGGAGAATATCCCATGATATTTGTTTTTATCCCTAATGTTTGTTTAATGTTTGTTCAAGAAAAACCCTGTAAGACAATTAAACCCTCTGCCTTCAATCTGATCAAAATTATTTGAGAAAGCTTATCATCCCAGCTACTGGTCAAATATCCGGACCCTGGACCTTTTAAATGTGGGTCAAGGTCATCCATTTGAACAAGTTTGTAGTCTTTGTACATGATACTTTCCAAATATCACAATCCTGAGCCTCTTGGTAATGAAAAATAACACATTTCGAGATTTCAACACATTTGAGCCGTTTGGTCTTATAATTTGGTCAAGGTCATTCATTTTATGAAAGTTGTCCTTCATTGCAGCATCTTACTCTCACAATGTCAGAACTTAAGGTATACTGGTGATTTGCAGGGCTCAAGTTTTATGGTGGAGATTTTTATTGAAAGTAATGGCTCAAATCATACAATTAACAGCTAAATAAATAAACAATATGGATTCCTCAATCCACGCTGGTGATGTCTTGTGGATCTTTGCTTTTGAAACAAAGTGGTTAAAAATAACAGCATGGTATACCTTGTCACAGTGAATAATGCCTGGAATAATGTGAAACATTAATAAGTTGAAAAACTCTATAAATCAACGGTTATTTTGGGTTCTGAATGGCAAACTAACTGGTAACCAGGTATAAGTTGGGTATGCAGGGATAGTCAGCAAAGTTAGCAGCACCAAAAAACGCAGAACGAAGGAGAGTTCAAGGTTTCTATATAAGGAAGTCCAAAGCTATGTTCATAGAGATATGGTACAAAAACTCTCGTTAGTCTGGCAGTCAGCCATTACTCCTACAACTGGCCGTTAGTCTGACAGTCAGCCATTACTCCTACAACTGGCCGTTAGTCTGACAGTCAGCCATTACTCCTACAACTGGCCGTTAGTCTGACAGTCAGCCATTACACCTACAACTGGCCGTTAGTCTGACAGTCAGCCATTACTCCTACAACTGGCCGTTAGTCTGACAGTCAGCCATTACTCCTACAACTGGCCGTTAGTCTGACAGTCAGCCATTACTCCTACAACTGGCCGTTAGTCTGACAGTCAGCCATTACACCTACAACTGGCCGTTAGTCTGACAGTCAGCCATTACTCCTACAACTGGCCGTTAGTCTGACAGTCAGCCATTACTCCTACAACTGGCCGTTAGTCTGACAGTCAGCCATTACTCCTACAACTGGCCGTTAGTCTGACAGTCAGCCATTACTCCTACAACTGGCCGTTAGTCTGACAGTCAGCCATTACTCCTACAACTGGCCGTTAGTCTGACAGTCAGCCATTACTCGTACAACTGGCCGTTAGTCTGACAGTCAGCCATTAATCAGCCATTACTCCTACAACTGGCCGTTACTCTGACAACTGGACGGACAACAAGTAAATTTTTTTCAGGAGAATATAAATTAATTATTTCATACAACCCTCGTATACAATGTACAGCTGGAGACCGGAGTAATTATTCGCATTCCTTACATCAAAACATATTGATGTACTACAATTCTATGCAGGTAGATGTTTCCTTCATGAAAACCTGTTGCAAAGTCTTTCGAGAAATTGCCCTCCATTCACTCACTTTGATAGATCCTCTGAATCAGAGGGCTCTGCAAAGTCCTATTCCAAAGAAGAGCCTGAGGTGAGAAGTTGCAGGAAGCAAACACCCAGAAACTCCTAGTAAGGTTTATAAGCAGCCTGATAGGTCTCTCTAAAGGCTGCTCTGATGAGATCTGGTAACAAAGATCCTTCAAGTCTGTCACAGATGATCTTTTAATCCCAATCTATTTTAAATCATTGTATTTCTTGTGTTGTAAACAAGGGATGCGGTCTTTACAAACTCCTTCAGGTAAGTAGGGGGTTTCCCTAACATTTGGAGTCTGGTATACAGTTACCTTTCTTCTTTTAAAGTATCGTCTCAACATCCATTCTGGACCGTTATGTATTTCAGGACAACTATTTTGTCAAGCTGATAAATATGTGAACTATTGATTTACGAGACCTTGCACCCAAATGATTTTAGTAACAGACCAGGCTTCCAGAGAGAATGAAAAATGGTGATTAAATCCATTCATCATGAAACATTATGTATAAATATTTTGTCAGCAAATTTGTGTATTTTTTTCTTAATCACATTTTTACATGTCAAACCTCCTCCCAGTTGTGATAAATTAGTCCACCAATCCATCTTCATATGCCAGTGTTTTGTTGTCCTCGGTCAAGTGTATTAGAGTGTCAGTGAAACTGATAAATGCTCCCTAAAAAAAACTTCAATGGTCGCAAAATTTTAACAAAGGGCAATAACTCTGTAATGAAGGAGTTGCGGGCCCTGAATTGGATATACTACACACTCTCTAATTATGAACAATATAAACACCAAGTTTCATGATCCTAATTTTAACGCAACCAAAGCCATGCTCATGAAACAAAATTTTAACAAAGACAATAACTGCAGAGGGTCATAGGCCCTGACTTAACATCATAGCATGTTTCTTTCGTTATTGTATGACTGAACCAAGGACTATAACTCTGTAATTAAGTGGTTTCAGCCCTAATATTGGTACATTTTACATTGCCTACATATGACCTATGTATACAATAAGTTTCATTATCCTAGCTAAAATGCAAGTAAAGTTATACTCTGGGTAAGAGATCTCTTTTTTTTTTTTTTTTTAAAAAGGCAATTACTGGGAGGTTGAGAACTCTGAATTTGGTACACAGCATGTCTTAGAATGATCAATGTATACGTTGTGTTTCATGATCCTTGCTTAACTGTGGACAAAGTTATGCTCCTGACATGAAAGGACAGGCATGGATCATAGGCCACACCTCGTTAAAATGTTTAAAAATGCACATCATACATTGCAAAATAATGTTTTTTGTTGTTTCATTTCTGATTCAAATTAACCGGTAAGATGTAGGCTAACATGTGTAAATTTAATTACAGTTACTATTTTGTGGCATAAAAAAAGAAGTTTTCAAGGAAATATGGCTCATCTGAGGTAAAAACAAACAATGAAAAATTAGAGTCTAACCATTTAAAAAAGGTGCACACACAGACACAAATATCCATCATTTTTTACAAAATATATCTTTTTTTTACTTATTTCTTTTATTTCTCATCGAAATGTCATTTCAGTTCAAATGTTGCCTTACACATGTCTATATGTGTACACTGTAAGGTAACATGAGCCACTGTGTGATGTCATCAGTGCAGTTTCTGATATATTCGTCAGTCATCTCTAGGGTGATTGTATAAGTGGGGGTAGAAGTGGATAGCTATATTTTTAATAATTCTGGCATTTCAGTGATAAATGGATAAATCTTGCAGCATCATGACCATATTCAATTCATTTATTTTTTCTTTGCACTTTGTAACCATTTATTGATCAAGCTTTATAATCAAGATACGATTCCTAACAGGTCAGAATCTAATACACATCATCGTTAATCAGACAGTGATTGTAAGTGTTTTATCTTGGTTAACATTGCCCATTGATATTTAAAATCAGACCAGAGGTTAAAATAATTACTGTCTGATCTCCTTGTCTGTTGTAAAATCAGACAGCAGGTTAAAATAATTCATGTCTGATCTCCTTGTCTGTTGTAAAATCAGACAGCAGGTTGAAATAATTCCTGTCTGAATCTCCTTTTCTGGTGTAAAATCAGACAGCAGGTTAAAATAATTCCTGTCTGAATCTCCTTGTCTGTTGTAAAATCAGACAGCAGGTTAAAATAATTCCTGTCTGAATCTCCTTGTCTGTTGTAAAATCAGACAGCAGGTTAAAATAATTCCTGTTTGAATCTCCTTGTCTGGTGTAAAATCAGACAGCAGGTTAAAATAATTCCTGTTTGAATCTCCTTGTCTGGTGTAAAATCAGACAGGAGGTTAAAATAATTCTTGTTTGAATCTCCTTGTCTGTTGTAAAATCAGACAGCAGGTTAAAATAATTCCTGTCTAAATCTCCTTGTCTGTTGTAAAATCAGACAGGAGGTTGAAATAATTCATGTCTGAATCTCCTTGTCTGTTGTAAAATCAGACAGCAGGTTAAAATAATTCCTGTCTGATCTCCTTGTCTGTTGTAAAATCAGACAGGAGGTTAAAATAATTCATGTCTGATCTCCTTGTCTGTTGTAAAATCAGACAGCAGGTTGAAATAATTCATGTCTGAATCTCCTTGTCTGTTGTAAAATCAGACAGGAGGTTAAAATAATTCCTGTCTAAATCTCCTTGTCTGGTGTAAAATCAGACAGCAGGTTGAAATAATTCCTGTCTGATCTCATTGTCTGTTGTAAAATCAGACAGCAGGTTGAAATAATTCATGTCTGATCTCCTTGTCTGTTGTAAAATCAGACAGCAGGTTAAAATAATTCCTGTCTAAATCTCCTTGTCTGTTGTAAAATCAGACAGGTTAAAATAATTCCTGTCAGAATCTCCTTGTCTGTTGTAAAATCAGACAGCAGGTTAAAATAATTCCTGTCTAAATCTCCTTGTCTGTTGTAAAATCAGACAGGTTAAAATAATTCCTGTCAGAATCTCCTTGTCTGTTGTAAAATCAGACAGGAGGTTAAAATAATTCCTGTCTAAATCTCCTTGTCTGTTGTAAAATCAGACAGCAGGTTAAAATAATTCCTGTCTAAATCTCCTTTTCTGGTGTAAAGTCAGACAGCAAGTTAAAATAATTCCTGTCTGAATCTCCTTGTCTGGTGTAAAATCAGACAGCAGGTTAAAATAATTCCTGTCTAAATCTCCTTGTCTGGTGTAAAATCAGACAGCAGGTTAAAATAATTCCTGTCTAAATCTCCTTGTCTGGTGTAAAATCAGACAGGTTGAAATAATTCCTGTCAGAATCTCCTTGTCTGTTGTAAAATCAGACATTTGAAGTATTAGAACATCTTACCTCAATTCTTATGAGCATAATGTTATTATACACTGACAGTGTGATCATCAGGATGTACAGTTTTATAACATTGATATATCTATGGTATGTCAGGTGACATTCAAGAAAGTGGTGAAATATGTAATAATGTGTACTTATGTCATACATGTTTTTCTTCCTGCGTCTGAAGCAGTGGAGTGTAAAGAGAAAGTTAGATGCACATACTCACACTACAATGTGTATGCATTATATTCTTACACACTCATCCATCACTATTCATTAATAAATGCCAAACACGATAAAGGAAAATTCAATCCCCTCCGTGTCTTTGGTAAGTCACCAGACATTGTATTTTGTGTAATGTTAAACACATATATATATCTCATATCCCATATATAAAGTACTGTAGTAGCTAACCTGTCACACAAAAAGTGAAAGCACTACATGTTAATATCTACTACAGGGATAGTTTCATATTTTATAGGTTGTCTGTGTATAATAAATTTTATTAGAGTCTATCAACTGAGACCTATATATTGGGTCACAAAAATTACCTACTAAATTGCAACCAGAACTCCTGCAGCCTATCAACACCTTTTTACCCATGTTCTTTACACATACTCCTCAATGTGGGACAGAGCAGATAAAAATTAAGAAGGATGTTTTAATGTTAAAAACTATTTCCCGCGTGTTAAGCACTGTGTGCTACCTGCTCTGTAGGCAAAGCATGTGGTGTAAAAAGTGCTGTCGGGCATTGGCACTTGACAGAAATATGTTGTCTCTGTATGTCTAGCTGTGGTAGTGACTACAGTGTGTGTTTCAACAGGATTGAAGGAACAACTTTGTTGTTTTCTATTGCTTGTCATTAGGGTCAGAAAGTTTCCTCGATTGTGAGAAATATTTCACGTATTAAAATGACACTATACAGAAAATACGCCGGTATGGCCATTGAACTGCACACATACCACACGTGTGCTGCACCTGTCTAACCATCCACACGTGTTACACAGGAGTGGACACATGAGTCATGTTCAAATAGTTTAGTAATTATCGCATCGTTAGATATATAAACCATATGAATGTATGCAAAATTGTTTCCTCGACAAACCTTTCAATCACACATCACGTTGGTGGTCTCTGATCAGAAGAATTTATCGTTAAAGTCGGGCCTTTGTTGTCATTCGGATCTCGTCAGCTGATTCCACACTATATATTCTGGAGATGTTTTCCGACATATTGTAAATCATGTCACACTTACATGCAGTATATTGGTAATACTGATAGCCTTGTTACAATTTCTCCTGTTTGTACATGCATCAGATTAAATACCTACCCGTAAACTTGACAGATCTATATCGTCCAAACTGACGTTCACAGATGTAGCCGCCATATTTGATCTTCATTCGAAAATATATCACTTCCTCTCGATTTCTCGGCTCGGAAAGGCACTCGCCGAGCAGTATTTTAGGCCGGTAATGACCAGATATTCTCTTAAAGAGTCATTCTATCCGGTTGTCTGCCGACAATTGTACCATATTTCTATTTGAAGTCAAAAACCTGCACCGAAATGTCTATCTTAACTTGTATATTTACAATGTTAAGTATCGTGACAGGTGCGATGCATTCTGGGTAAAGGCAGATATTTTCATCGTTGAACCCACACCGGGAAGATGAGGTCATCCTATCGGATGGTAGTGGGGCCAAGCCCACGAAATTTAGATACGGCATTGAACCAGCTTCTTTCAGTATATTTAATTGTCACAACCAATTTTTTTACTTACTGTTAATCGTTGGAAATCTTCATCCAAACAGTATTTGTCTCTTTTTGACTGGCCTTTTCTGCTTTCTGAGTAAGGAAGGGTAATTAATGTTTGTTTGTTTTGGTTTTTTTTCACATTAAGAAATTACACGATCGGTCATTGATTAAATAAAGAAATCAAACATATCTTCAGAGTAGTAATGACGATACGGTATTGTAAATACCATTTTATTTTGCGTTCTTGTCCAAATCGATTAGAAGCTCCATAAATAAAATAGTAGGACGGATCTTGAAGGCCATGTTTTTCCACTATTTTTTTATTTTCCGTTGATGTGACGCAATGGTAGCTGCAATCCACAGGGCGCCGCCCCTCCCCAACCCCGTGTAACGGGCATACGTACGTCTGCCACCCGATAATGAGTGTTGTTTGCACATATGCATGTAGCGGCGATTGTCCGGTGGTATGTTAAATTGGCTGATTTCTCATCATCTCCAGTTTGTGATCACAATATTCGTTTTTCGGATAAAGAAAATATTTTATTCTAGATATTGAATGAAATACACATATTTATTTTAAACAAAAAGTTTCATCTTCGGTGACATATCAGCGTCCAGTATGGTAGTTTTATTAGTGGTTACAAACAGTATACACGTGTGCCCACCTCTCTTCAGTGGTATATCTATGAAATATTCACGAGCGCTTGTTTTATTTGATGTACGTTAGATTGGTATGTGAAAACAAATGTACAACCTAAACTGGTATGTTTGTTTTTCCTAGGCGTTAACCAGTAGCAGTGACATCAGACAGGTGCTCTGCTCCTGACTGGGACCGGCGCTGACTGGGACCGTCACGATAGATAACTCGTGCGGACTTACAGAAAATGTAGGAAAGATTGCATGCACAATGCTACTAACGCATACAAGTGTATAACTGATACAAACACGTAGAAGTGTAACGTTGTCAATTTTAACGACATTTCAGTGTATTGATACAAAGAGTAGTGCTTTACTCTTTGACGATCTGGAATTAATTATAAGATAGAAAACGAGTGCTTTCCTTTGTCGTATATCCTAATAAACACACCTTCTACGATGGCGGTCCCGGTCAGCACCAGCCTAGATCAGGAAATCTTACGTCCTATATTTTCCGACAATCTCGTCGTATCTAAACAGAAATAAGTCTACTCATCTTGACCAACTGAGATTAATCATCAGATAGAAATTTAGTGCATTCCTATGTCGTATATCCTAATGTTTTTTATTTTATTTTTAGATGAAAATTAGTTGTCATTTTTAAGTTAAAACTTACACATGAATTTCCCATAGTCTTACCAAAATTTTAACAGAACGATTATTTTGAAAATTCCAATGTGAAATAAAAGCAATATTAAGAAAAAATCTCCAAATTTATGCCTCTGGCTATCAAGTATAGTAATTTTCCATCACACCGACATAACTTTGACAAACTTTGATAAAAAAAATAGCTGTGTAAATGTTTTAGATGAATGGCACATAATTTCAGTTCACGGACATTTTTTGAAGTCCCATCGCTGTAAAGGTAAACATGGCATCAATGTACGTGTATCGATGAGTCATTAAGACGGACTGCTGTTTATACCTACTAAATAGTTATATTGTTTTCTCAGCAAAGTCCATTTGATATCTTCAGAAAAGAGGATTTCATACGTAATTAAGGAAATTAATGATAAAATATAAACGACATTTCCACATAGCGGCAAAGCTGTAACCAAAACATAGTTCACAGTATGTGAATATCAACAATCACTGGGGTTTATTTTAATGTCTCGGTTATTTTTTATTCTTCGATTATTTATCCATAATTTGATCGCTCTATACATTCCGTTCATATATTTATAATGTAATTTCAAATGCATATGTACAGTTTACGACTGACTTATAGTAAATAAAACAATAATGACAAATCAAGCATTGTTGAAGAAGTGTACAATGTATATACTATGTTGACGTTGATACTTAAATGTACAATCATTTTTAACGAGAAGTGTACGATGCAGACATGATCATTCATTCTTGATTTCGTTTTATCTGGGTTCAGAATGTTTTCATATACTATCGGGAATTTTAGAAAGGTAAGACGAGACGTCCATATCATACAATAATAGATATAAACGCTTTTCGACTAGATTTTGAGGAAGTGTACGGGCGTGATAACATACAAGTCATGGCTAATGCTCTGTTGTCTGTTTGCCTTGTTTGTTTTCAATTGTTTCTCAATCAATATCCATGTTTCTGAATAACCAGCTCCGTGTCAATAACTATCGGGCGAAGTGATCCTTAGGTAATGGTCGTAATGACAATGGTTGTACTGTACAAAGTTATATAGAACATCCTCTCATTCGAAATTTATTTCATTCCCCACTTTAATAGTAAATGCACACACATTTGTATGACGCAACTCTTAATGTAATAACGGCGTTAATGTAATAATTGTTACATTAAGCGTTGCGACCGTTACGCTTAATGTAATAAACGTCTCTTTATTACATTAAGAGTTGCAGTTGTTACGCTTAGAGTAATACAAAATAAATTATTACACTAGGCGTTGTGGTTGTATTTAAATTACCGCTAATGTAACCATTTTTATACTGTTACGGAAGTACACTGCTTGTCGATTACAAGACAATATAGCAATAATATACTATAATGGTGTATGTTCCCGTCAAGGTTTTGAGGGGCCGGGGTGTCTGTGGCTGAACGGTCTAGGTCGTTGCGCCCCGTGGTCGTTGTAGCCTATCACCTCCTAGGTTTTGAGTTCGAAACTCGTTGAAGTTCTTGTTGCCTTAAAACATACGGATGTCGTGCTGGCACATGCCTCTAAGTTTAAAATCACATCTATCTTGTTGATCATGAATGGTTTGTGTAAAATTTGTTTTATTATTTAGCCAGATTACATTGTATCTTCTACTGTGATCTGTGAGGAGACTAGGCTTCCATGAATACAATATTGCGATGTTATGTTATACAGTGTTGATCATTAAAAAGATGATAAGATTACATACAATTTGATCGGGTGTAAATTATTATTCTTAATCTAAAAGGTACAGCCAAAACCTGACCTTCCAAAAAAGCGAATATTTTTTCAAACACAATATGTTGGTTTTAAGAAATATTGTGATGCATTTTGACTACAAAAGAAGCTATTTTTTATCAATGCAACTATATCTTAGCAACAACATAACAAAGGAGCAACACAAAGCAATAACCCTTTGATTCCGTGACCTTGAAAGTTGGACCAAAAAATTGGGTAGTGTTGTATTGTCGATTAACGTCCGCGCAACAGCTTAAGTCATTTGCAGATAATATCATAGGTACATGGCATGCATGGCAGACTCATGTACCCAACCCACTACCCACACCGTTATACTAACTCCAGGCCGTTCAGTTCCTTGCTCCTTGCAGTATTAATGTTTATGACACGACTGACGCGGGTCATCATAATGTGTATGCATACAAACAGTGAGATAACTGGCATTTTAGCCACATGCAAGGTTTGATGGCATTCTAATCATTAATCTAATCATAACTGAAGCTATCATCGGAAAACAAAAGAGCTGACGTCCATACATCCGGCTGTCCGGATGGACAGACGGACGGACGAACAGACAGACAGAGGGATTCCTATAGGGCTTCCGTATATCGATGTAGGGCCCTAATAATACCCAAAAAGACATAACAATACACAACAGAAGACTCAGTATGTCCCCCTTCATTTCGGACTTTATTACACTAAGGACCTTGTTAAATTTGTCAATAGTATAGTTTCGGCGCTTAATGTAATAAAAAAATACTATTACATTAAACGTAACAGTTGCACCGCTTAATGTAATAAAAATAACTTTATTACATTAAGCGTAGCCGTTGCAACGCTTATTGTAATAATTATTACATTAAGCGCGGTTATTACATTAAGAGTTGCATCAATTGTACGTACACCTATATGTGAAAGGGGAATAATGACTAACCCCAATAAAATCTTCTAAACTGACAATTCATTATATACCATGGACATTTATATCTCATAATGATTACCTTCTCACAATATTGTCATCATCTGTACACAGCTAATATTTGAGACGTTTGTCTACGCCACCCCAAAATGGCCTATGTACCACTTGGCTCGTCATCGTTAAGTTTACCAGTGTCCTAGACACAGGTACGTAGTGCAATATACGCCCCAGGGCAGTTGACTTTCACACCTCGGCGGCAAGCCTTTTTATCCCCCGTCCCCATCCACCCTATCAGAAATGACGTCCGTCCGTCCGTCATAATTTTGTGCGGAGCATATCAACATGAAACTTTACAGATAGATAGATCTCAAGAATGAAAAGTGCAGTATACAAGAACCATAACTCTCTTTTGCATAATTTAGGAGTTATTGAAACTTTATATTGCATTGGTACTAAGAGAACGTGCAATATACCAAATACAGGGTATGCAACTGTGTGCTTAATTACAGAATTATTGCTTTTTGATTACATTTTGTGTCCAACAGAGCCGTTTTATTAGAGCATTCCTGTTTTACTGATATAGTTTTGTTATAGTTTTGTTTTTTTGTTTTGTTTTGTTTTGTTTTTTTATCATTATTATTTGTATGATCTGCTGACATCAAAGTATCGTTGTCTGCATGTTGAGACTACCATTTCATGTTCTAAATTCAACGTTTATAAGACCCAATTAAGATCCACATTGACATAAGAACTTAACGCCTTATAACCT